TGTGCTGCCGCGCGACACGACTTTTCCATTTGTCCGTTAGATCCTGAAAAGGTCCTGAAGAGCGTGAAAAACTAAGGCAGGCCACGGCGGCGGAGGTGGCAGGGCGGTGCTGTCGTTGTCTCCTACAAATGTCCGTACACGGGCGAGCAAATTGGAATAATTTAACATTCAACGGAAATTGCAGCCCATTAGAAGACGAATTCATATTAAAAGTGTTGCTGTTGCTGCTGCTGTTGCTGGCCCATCCTAAAGCACGGAACATTCCCTCAATGGCTGAAAGTCATGCAAATTTCAAGCTGCCACCGCCAGGAGACTGAAAAGAAGTGTTCAAAGGAATACTGGTCTAACATCATTCGGTTACACACACACACACACACACACACACACACAATTCGTTCACACGTACTGCAATTAAATTAACAGCTCCTTCTTGCCTTCGCCCCTGAAATGTGAGTAAAAAAATTGCAAGTCAGCTGCCGTTGGTGTGGCAGGGGCGTGGGCGGCGACCAAAGGGTTGGTTGGCCAACCCAAAACCCACTTGAAAATAAAAAGGAAACGGGGAAAAAAACTTCTGCAAATGGTTTGCTTATAAATGGAATTGGAATGTGGTCTGCTGGAGGGGTGCGCTGCACAGAGGTTTAGAAGGCAAACAAATTGGATTTGGATTTTACTTTTAGCAAGCATCCGGTGGAACTTAAAGCCAAAATTTAGTCGTTCTCTATCCCTTAATTTAAGTGAAAACTATGCAAAGTTGGGCCGTAGTTAAGCTGACATCTGTTGAGGACACAAAAACTAATCCCAATCCCAGTCAGGTGCAGGTGCAGCTGCAGTGGAATAACTTTATCAAGGCACACGAAACAACTTTTAATTGTCGGCTGTAAACGAAGGTTACTGACAAACGCTTGAAGACTGAAGGCTTGAAGTGATTTTTCGGGTGTCTAAGCGACACCACACCGAGTCGCTGGGTCTGCGAGTGGCCATTCCGAGTGGCCCTTTCGGTAACGGGCATAAACATTTTCATTGGCCTGCGACCTTAGACAAATTTGCTGTGTCGCTTTCGGGGCAACTTTAAATTGCCAAATGGTCAACTGTTAAACGAAATCTGCAGCAAAAAAGTCGTTGACACTAATTAGCATTTAAAAGTGAGCGACCACCAGCAGCAGCAGCAGCAGCAGCAACATTTTCAATTGAAGCGAACATCGGAGACAATCGGAGAAGCAAACACACAAATACAATAAATAATATGTCTGCAAATCTTGCATGAATCTTGCCTATCCATCGATGATAGCATCGTGGATAGATGGCAGATGCAATTGGCGCCAGCGGCAACATCTACAACATTTACAACAGCAGCAACAGCAGCAGAGGCAACAGCAGCAGAGGCAACGTCGAGTGCCACCAAAAATGTCAAATGTAAAAAGCGAAGCAGTCAAACGGCAAAAACCGTTCATGCTGCAACCAAACAAAAAATATGCACAAAACTTAAACAAAATTCGTATTCAACAATAAAAAATTTGCACGTTGCTCGTCTCTGTCTTCGTCGGCGTCTGCGTCTGCGTCTCAGTCTTCGTTTGCTTAACAAGCAGGAAGTGGCGCTGGGCAGACGGAGGAGATGCCACCAAAGCCAAAGCCAAAGCTCCGTCCCAAACCCCCCCGCTGGCAATAACAAGCGACAATAGATGCAGGAAGCAACAACTGTCGTCGTCGTCGTTGCCAGCTTCCTACCCGCCATCCGGCAACTACCATCCACCAGCCACCATCCACCATCCACCAGCCAGCATCTAGCAACCGCCACAATCCATCGAAATCCCTCCCGTTGCATAGGGATGAGCCAAAGCTGCTCCCGTTGCGTGCGCCGAGCGTGGGGCAGCGCTATCTCTCAGTGTCATGGAAATGTTGCACAGTCAGCCGGAGCCGGTGCCGGAGCCATATTGCATCGTTTATGCAACAAGCATCACTTCCCTCCCCCAGGCGGCAGCTCTTCGATTAAAGTTCAGCCATCTGCAGAGCTGTCGGGGAGTACTTTTCAGCGTCGGCCCGGCGGCAAATCGTATTTGCACAGTGGAGAGGCAGAGGCAGAGGCAGACGCAGAGGCAGAGGTTCAGCGAGATAAATTTGCATGGTAATTAAATGAATTTACCATTTAAACCTGCTACAAATACAATAATTATAGCCAGCTAATTGCCCTTAAAGATGCCAAGTTTGTCCCTAAAGAGGAGCCTCCCATTTGTGTTTATTTTATTGGCTCCCCTGCGCCCCATTGAGTGCTTGGCTGCTTGGCCACATTGTTGAGCTTGAGATTTATCGCCAGCTGCGGTTTTCATTTTTCGGCGATCGTTGCGCTGCGCTTTTGGCGCTTTTCCTCCAATTGGCACTCGGAAGTTGGGGGAAAACCATTTGAGTGGTGGAAATTCCTAACAAAAGCCACAGAAAGCGAATAAAATTAGCCACCTTAGCCTTGATTTGCACTTCACGGCAACCGCTTAGCGTGCACTCGGATGTGAACTCGAACTTGGATTCCGATTTACATTCCCAGTGCTCCAAATGTGGCTGCCGATTTGGCTCCCTCGCTGTCTCCCCTGGTGCTTTGCGGGCGTTCGGTCTGGCCTTTTCTTTCGACATTGAGTTGGATTCCGTTTCCCACAGTGCAGCAATTTATTGCAGCTATGTACATACTTGTACAAGTCTGTCAATACACTAAAAGTCGTCCGATGTTCGCCGCTCGTTAGGCGAAAAACCGAATTTTTGCATATGGCCCGGCGGGCTGCTGGCCTGGCCACTAACTTGGCCCGAAGCTCGGGCTTTGGTTACGCAAGATTTGCGAGAAATTCAAGGTGAAATCTGCACCACTGCACGGGAATTGTTGTGGCAGGAAATGCTGGACGAATCCCATTTCCCATTGACAGCTGACTGCAGTTGCGTTTTCATTTTATTATTATTATTTTTATGATTCCGATCGACAACGGGTTTCTGCCATTTGGCAACTTAATCATAAACTGAAGATTTGTGTGCCCCCCTGATGGATTTAACAGTCGGACACTTTGCTGATAATTGGCTACGCCCGACCCGACCCACTCCCAACAAGCCCCGATGGTCGTTAGTCGAGTGCCGTTTATGACCATGTTAATCCGCCTGATTCATAACCAATTCGCAAGTAATTGGCCAGATTAAAGAAAGCCTCAATCCATTAGCCGCGAACATGAGTAATCGAGTGGGCTGCCGAGCGGCTCCACCACTCTCGAGTGTCGTCAAAAAGTAAAATGAGTTTACGTATTTTTAGGTGTTTTATGTTCGGTGGCTTCCTTCAATTAAATCTTACGGCAATCCCAGCCCATCCCTCTCTCTTTCTCTCTACTCTTCTTTGAGACTTCTCGGCTTCACTTCTGGGAAAGCCAGAGTTTTCTTGTTTTTTTTTTGCTGTAATAAAATTAAAAACCGCAGCGAATTGGTTGGTTGGTTGGTTGGCATAAAACCCCATGAAATTGCTGACCCGAAAATTGGCAACTAATTGAAAAAGCGTTTATACAATTTTCCTTTCTTCTCTTGCCGACTTTATCCCACACCTTTCTCGCCATTATATTCGGTTCATTGAACGTTAAGTTCGTTCGATCTGCCCGGACAACTTCATTAAACTTAACGCAATTAACCGACTGAATACCGAAGACCTGAATGAAAAATGCCAAAGATGAGACATAACAAAAAATTTAAAAAGTTTTTTTAATTTTTATTTTGGCATAAAGTCAAATTTATGGCAAAATACTCGCATAAATTTGGCATAAAATATTTAAGTAGAAGAATAAATATATGAATATCCCTGGAGCCACATTAAAGTCTGTGAATACCTAAGGAAGGCCTTAGACCTGAGACTTTGACTAGAGGCTAGTCCCAAGGCTAGTCCCAAGGCTTGTCCCGATTGACAATTTGCTTTTGTATCCCAGACACGACCAACCCCATTTTTGCGAATTATCTTTGCGGCAAATCTGTGAATCGTAGGCCTTGCACAGTGGCACACTTGCACACTCATAAAAACACTCACACACTCACACTCACACTCAATCCGTCTGTGATCTATCAAATCACGTATTCACATTTGTCGTATGAAAAGAAATTCCCCCCCACCGCCCCCCACAAGACACAATGGCAACCCAAAGATCCACCAACACTCAAAGCACAAGTCTCGAAAATTATTCAAATTGCCATTGTTAGCATTCGAGAGTATTGGGGGAATTTTCTTTTGATTTTCACTTTGCTGCGCTCGTGAGCTCGTGAGCGTGTGCAGAAATTTCCAAGCCAAAGGAAAGCCCAGAGTCGCCTGCTCTGTTGGCCAGCTGACGCTCAAGTGCGGCACCCGAGACCCAGTCGAGATCCAAGTCGCGAGGTCCCAGCGGTCCAAGAGCCCAGCGGTGAGAGCGAAAGTGCACGACATTGGCTACAAACTGTGACTGGAGCAGAGCAGAGCAGAGCAGAGACAGAGAGTGAGAGTCTGGCTGTGGCTGTGGCTGTGACTCTCCAGTACATCCGACAACGGGAAATCAACGTTGGTAGAGCGGAGTGAAGCTGAAGCTGAAGCTGAAGCTGTTGTTGCTGTGCTGTAATAAGTTGATTGTGCGGTAATTTCGGTTTCACTTGCCAGCCTACACAGACAGACGCCAACGTTAACCCCGATGCCAGACACAACCACAGCCACAGCCACAGCCACAGACATTCGCACTGAGACTCGGAGAGAGAGATGGCCAAAAAAGAGTCTCATTATTGGCCAGCTCGCTTGGCCTGGCTTGGCCTGGCCACGCATGCGCAGTGCCCAAAAGTCGCATCATCATCAGCATCATCATGAGCATAGCGAAAACCCTCTCGCATCCATTGGACTTTGCGAATGTGTTGGTGTCTGTGCCGCTGTGCCGCGCTCTGTGGCAGTGGCAGGCAGGCCAGCAGCCGCCGTGCCGTGCATCTAGCTGGGTTTCTGTATAAATTGATGATGCGGCTGCAGTTGTTCGTCAGTGAAGCATTTGATTTGGTCTAATAAACAACATCCGAGCACCAAGCCGAGGAAACAGAAACGTGAGGCTCTACTCTACAGCACAGCAAATCCTCTAGTGCTCCAGCATCGTCCTAACTCGAAACCTCTTGTCTCTTGTCTTGTCTTCCCCAAACCCCTGCCCCTCACACACACTCGTCCACACACACCACAGACCTAGGATTACTGTGACAGTGCCAGTGCAAAGTGTGTGCCGCGTTAGATCGTAACCCAAAAAGAGAAACCGGCTATCCGAGTACCCACCCCACCCACAAGTGATCCAAGAGAACCGCATCCAATTCGTCAGCACCGATCCGTGACTAAGCAGCCATGAAAGCCTTCATTCTAATGTCCTGTCTGGCCCTGGCCGCGGCCCGTCCTGAGGCCGGCTACAACTACAACCGTCCCGGTGGCGGCGGCGGTTCGGGAGGCTCAGGTGGCGGCTTTGGAGGTGGCTCCAGCGGTGGATTCGGAGGTGGCTCCAGCGGTGGATTCGGAGGCGGATCTGGCGGAGGATTTGGCGGCGGCTTCGGCGGTGGCTCCAGCGGTGGTGGTGGTGGATTCAGCAGTGGCGGCGGAGGAGGCTTCGGCGGTGGATTCGGCGGCGGCTCAGGCGGCGGATTCGGCGGAGGTGCGTGTGCAAAGAGGGGTGCAGCTTCGATGCCGAGTTAAATATAATTTAAATTCACTTTGCAGGCGGCAGCATTGGCGGATTCGGAGGTGGAGGCGGCGGCGGTGGTGGCGGCGGAGGCGGTGGCACCACCCTGGTGCAGAAGCACATCTATGTCCATGTGCCGCCACCAGAGCAGGAGGAAGTGCGTCAGCGGCCCAACCTGCCCATTGGCCAGTCGCAGAAGCACTACAAGATCATCTTCATTAAGGCGCCATCTCCGCCCTCGTACCAGGCTCCGGTCATCCCGCTGCAGCCGCAGAACGAGGAGAAGACCCTGGTCTACGTGCTGGTGAAGAAGCCCGAGGACCAGCAGGACATTGTCATCCCCACGCCGGCACCCACACAGCCCTCAAAGCCCGAGGTGTACTTCATCAAGTACAAGACCCAGAAGGAGTCTGGCGGCGGCATCTCCGGCGGCAGCGGTGGCTTCACTCAGTCCAACTCTGGCAGCGGCTACACCACCGGCGGCGATGGTGGCTTCACCGGCGGCGACAGCGGCTCCATCTCGGCCCCGTCCAGCAACTACGGCCCGCCCGGCAAGTCCGGCCCCTACTAAGCATCTCCAGCCACCACGCGAACTTCGAACTCAACTTCGGCTCAAGCTGCTGACTAGTCCTGTCGTTGACACGCCCCCCCAGCCACGCCCACTTTCACACAGAATCTCCACCACATCGACATATCAACAAACATAAACCACACACACATCAGCATAACCCCACAAACACCAAGCCCCAAACACCACCACTGCGACTTGACCCGAAACGTGACGATCTTCTACTCTAGCACACATGTGCCCCACATGTGTCCCCTCTTCTGATCCCCGACACAGCCACGGGGCTCGCCTCCGCTCGGATCACACAACACCCCGAAATGGGATAAGTGCTTTCCGCCCATGACTTTTGTATATAATACGCTTCCGAACTCACCTTCACTCTCACACTCCACTACTCTGCATCTGCATCTCCTTCCATCTGTCAGTCACACTGCGTCTGATTGGAGTCTCAACCTTAAACTTTGCCCTGAAAATTCTATTAGCTAATAGGCGACGAGTGCGGGTTCCTTGGATGGGAATCTCGCTTGGGCGCCCGAAAGAGCGATGGCAGAAGAAGATAATGACGATGATGAATGACGATGATGATGATGATGATGATATAGAAGATGATTTAGCGGGGATTGACACAATGCTCCATGCATACACATAAATCCATAATCTATATATATTTTAATTATACTAGAATAAGTACTTTATGCTCAATAAAAAAAAACAACGGTGACAAAATTACGAAAAAAAAACAAACAGCTACAACCTTTGAATTTTTCCAACTAAACTTTCCCTGCAGTACTCCCCCTTTTGGCTGAGTTCTTTAATGAATATACTTAATGTACTTGCCCTTTTTTTTAAGCTCACCCTTAACTTACTTGTCCGCTGATCTCGTTTTAGCAGCTCTTCCTTTTCGCTTAACCAATTAGGTTCCATCTAATTCAGTTATGCGCAAAATTTATGCTCATCCCCAGCAAAAAAAGGGGAAAGTTCTTGGCAGAGCTGTGAAAATAATTAAAAAGTAATTCCTTCAAATTATGAACATAATTTTTGGTATCCTTTATTTGCTCCCCTATTTGCTCTGCTCACTTTGGCACTTCTGCCACAGCTGACCCCGCAATGGCCAACCGTTTAATTAAATTGAAACGTTTGAATGGCAAGTTTTTCTTTCGAGCCACATTAAATGCCGCAATTGTGGGAATGCCAGAGAAAGAGTGCGGAAACTTTTAAAACTCTTTTGGTATCTCTGCCCCCGCCTGCCGCTGTGCAGAAAATTGCAGAAAGTTTTTCTTTGAGTGAGGCTTTTATCTGCCAAGCAACTTCTAGTCGACAATTGCGAGCGGAATACTAAATGCTGGTACACTGGTACACTAGTAGGAAGATCTTTCCGCTTGAATTTCTTAATGACAAACTGTTGGCTTTGTTTTTCCTTTTGTTGCATCTGCGCTTAGTTTAATTTTACGTACTGCCTGTGTGTGTGTCTTTCTCTGGGCTACAATGTTTTTAATGCCTTAAGTATACAGCAGCACAGCACAGCATTGGCATTGTCATTGCCGCTCGAGCTTCTTCCTCTTTGCTGCTCTGCTCTGCTCGGCTCGGCTCTGCTCTGTTTTGTCACTTTCACTTTTGTGTGGTTGTTGGCTTTCGGTGTTACTGTTACTGCTACTCGTACTCGTACTCGAACCTTTAACCGTCTGCTGACGGCTGTCTTGCTTTTGGTCTTGGCAGCATCATTCGACTCGGCTCGGCTTGGCTCGATTTGTGCCGCTGCCTTTGTTCCCAGCCCAGCATCATATTTTACGGGCATATGGTTTTGCTTCCGCCTGTCTGGGCTAACACCAAACACTGCCATTGCTGGAGCTGAAGCTGAAGCTGGCGCTGTCTCTTCGCACAATCAATGGCAATCCGTCATGCAGGGCTTTGCCCTGCCTGCCACATAATATCCGATTGAAAGCCGCATGATGATGAACTCGCATATCCACTCCATGGATACCCCCCTCTGGGCATTCACATTCCCCTTTCCATTCAAGGAGCTTCTTCCATCTTTCTAATTACTCCTCCTCGGACTTGTAGCCAACTTGGTTGAGCGAGGCCCTGCCCAAGTGTCCATTGGTGGTCCATCGTAAAATGCGAGAGAAACAATATCGTTGATGCACTCACTAAAGCTGCCATGCCACACGTTGCACGTGCAGCGTACTCTGCCCATTTCGTGCCTGCTCGTAAAAGCTCGAACGTGCTGTCCGCCCCGCATATTGGCCGCAAACGAAACCCAAAAAGACCATAAACATTGCTTTGCATATGGGGGCAGGAACAACAGAGTACAGCGACAGCAACAGGACCGGGCAGGACAGTAGCGAGGGGGCAGACTATAAATCAAACATAGGAAAAGCCCCAACACGAAACACACACGCCCACATTCAGCGGAGGCAATTTGTAAAGTTTCGGGGGCCGCAACATTGTCCGAAAATTGGTTCAGAGCTGGGGGGGGACTCACCCTCCATTGTGACAGGATTTGGGTGCTGTATTCTTCCGGATAGCTAGCCACTTTTTTTGGCTACATGCATGTGGCACTTGAGACTTCAACATTTGCATACAGCTTTGCGGAAAGGGTGCAGAGCAACCGCAAGAATCTATTATCCACTGAGGACAACAGCAATTGGGCTAGTTGAAGAACTCAAGTGGAGAACTTTGTGTGTGTGTGTGTGGGGGAGATGGGAACAATGTCACCTTTGGATTGAGATGAGTTCGTTGCAGCTTCAAGTGGAGAGGACAAATTGTGCCCAAAGGATTCGTCTAACGAGCCAACTTATTAGACTGCTTTTAACCGCCAATAAAAAAGAAAAGACTTTGCAAGGCAAATGATCTGGAAAAACCCTCGAAATGTCTGTCAGCAGAAATGCGCATAAACCCGAAAGAGGGCAAGGACCAGTACCAAGGACAAGGACCTGGCGGAAGAAAAAGCAATTTATGTGCAAAAGAAAATGTTTAAAATTGAATTTGTAAGGCGGCCATAAGGTAAACACGAGAGGCCCGACTCGCGGACACGAAATTCTTTTATCGTACGACCCCTGCCTTGCTCCACCCCACCGCATCTTGTCCAAATATGCCGCGTCATAAGCGAACGAATTTTATGACCTTTATTTTTCACTCCACTCCCCACTCTACCGCTGGGGCGTCGAGGGCTTTTCCTTTTGAGTGTTTTTCCGGTTGCAAGTGACACGCCCACAATAAATCGCAGGCACAACACATCCGGGCGCGGTCAGCCGAGAGCAAGATAGCAAAGGAGCGGGAAACATTTGAGTAGAGTTTATGTATATGTATGTGGGGGCCAGTCCGCGCCTTTCACGGTTTCGGTCTCTTCATTTAATTGACGGCTCTTGCAGGGCTTCGCAGCCCCCTTGAGTCCCTGGTTTATGACACTTTCGGCGCTTTAATTAATTGCGCGTATTTCTTGGGCCGTTTCCTTCACGCACCTCATCTCACACCGCACCCCAGACCGCTACGCACCGCCCCCCCCCACTTGGCTGTGTTAATTATAATGTATGTCAGTCGTAAAAGTAAAAGTCCCCTCACGTACGAGTCCGCAGACAAAGCGCGCCCCCCCCCCCCCTGCCACACTCTCGACTTCAAAAACTTCGTCATGGCGATTCATCAAAGCCCCGTCAAACACTTCTTGCCTTTAATTTAATGTGGTTTTATCGCCCAATATGGCTTACCCAAAAGGCTCAGAGCCAGCGCTCTTCTCTTCTCTGCCTTCCCTTGCCCCATTTGTAACACTCCCGTTCGTATTAGCTGCTGCTTCTGGCTTCTGGCTACTGGTCAATGCCCGAGGACGTCAATGCCTTGTTCTTGGCCCCCCATAAACCTCCTTGGATATAATTGCAACGTAGAAAAAGTCCATTTGCTCTTTTCGTATTTTTAGTCGGTTTTGTATTTCGTGTTCCATTGTTCTCGTTTTTATTTGATTTCTTTTTATGACTTTTGGATTTTAACGATACATTGTGGCCCACGCCACTCATTTGGGTATTTCTGAACTCCATTATCGTGGCTCGGTCAAGAGAAATGCCATACATAGAATTGGAATAACAAAGAAATTCTTGGGGTAATGACATATCTCCGGGCGACATATCTCCAGCCATACATTTTCAACAGGAGATATGTCGCTATGGCCTGCCAGAAGATATGTCGCTATGCCGAAATTCTTTACTTTTGGGATAGGTTTAATATTTGTGACCTTTCACACGAAATTTTCATTAAATAAATATTGGGAAATGTACAATATATTTATAAATTAAAAATATTATTATTATTTAACAAAAGCCATATCCAAATAGGCAAAAACTAAAACCAAACAAAAACAATTGGCACTCAAGAACTCTAAAGAATGGCTGGGTAAATGTGTGACTACAAAAGGAAAGTTTTTGAGGGGGAAAACTGTGCCAGAAACTTTGCTCAAAATAAGTTCAACCTACGCCACATTAATTTTTCACTTTCTTGCGAAAGTCAAACCGCAAAGTTTTGAGTTAAATTGCTGTGCAAATTAGTTGCTTATTAGTTTGGCTGCCCGTCGACGGTGTTGTTTAATGACCGTTTGATTTTTGCCCATTTCATGGATAACAATTCAAGCCGCGGCTGGTTGCGCACCGCACCGCACACCGTCGGGCGGGTGCGGGTAACCGTGCGGGTTTCTGGGTACAGGTACAGACTTTGTTTCACCTCTTCACCTGGCACTTTCGCAATTGTCTGGCAATTAAATGTGGCTTCCATTACCGCAGCTCGGGGCGGCATGCGGGTACGTCCAGAGGTCAGTTGCCGAGTTGGGCAAGGGACCGACCAGCGATGGACCAGCCGGCGGCACGCGCTAATCGATGAGCCAAATGAATTGATTAATAGTTGTAAACAGACCGCAGCGGGTAATCGAGTAGCGTGCCCATGCCGGATGCCTGTCGAATGAACTAGTTCCCAGTCGTAATTATTAACTGGTCCCCACCGACAAGCATTTATTTCTGTAAACTGGTTTTCGTGTGGCCTTTCAGAGGCAGTTTGTAATCGCAGTCATGCTCGCCAGACAACTCCCACGCCACAAAGAGATTCCCAATTGTGCATGAAATGCTGCTTTCAATTTTCGGCGAATTATTTTTATATACGGAATACCCTCCAAAACCCCCACAGACGTAAGGGTAAGGGTACGGGTACGGGTACGGGGTATGGGTAATAATAAAAATTACGAGACCTGCCCAAAAAGTTGCAATCAAAATCGTTTAATGCTCTTACCGCGCCTTTGTTGCTGATTGGACAGCACAGCTCAGCGCTTAGGGCCTCTTTCTCTGGAGAAACTAAGCCAAACAACGGCTGAAAATTAAATCTTGCGAAAAGCCAAAAAACCAACATAAAACTACTCACTTTTTACCCACGGCACTCGTTCGTACTCGTAAGTTGAAAGTTTCGGCTTCGTAATAAACATTTTGCATTCGACAAGCGACAAGCGAGCCGCCTCCTTCTCCTGCCATTGGCTATTTGTATGTATGTTGGTTTGGTATAAATCAAATTCTTTGCACTTAAAAAGCAATCAATTTTTGACGCTCTCCTCTCATTAATTAAACAAAACGAATGACAGTCAGCTGGGACAGGCTTTGGCCTTTGCCCGAAAATAGAAGCCATTTCGTTGTCGCGGACGTGCACGGAAATTTAATTAATGAATTACTGGGCGAAAGAGCAGAACGCTTTGCACCTCATCATGGCGACTGGAGAGTGGACTGGAGAGTGGCAAGGCAAGGCTTCTATTCAAATCGAAAGATCATTAAAATGTTGGGGGGTATTCTCTTTGAGACAGAGTGGATCAAAACTCATTTGTCAGCCTTTCTCTGCGCTCACTTTCGTTGGCCCAGTTCCTAATGTTTTCGTGGGTGTGGGCCCTACTTAAAGCCAAATCATTTTAATGAATTACAGCACGGTCTGGACTGTACTCATTTTTTTATGTAAGCCCCAGCACAGCATTCACTTTGATGGGCGGGCATGACACTTGTGGTACCCATATAACCCGTAACCGAACCGAACCGCAACAGCAACAGCAACCGCAACCGAAGAAGAAGCGCGACCGCCACTGCTAACCGGTTCAAAACCAAAACAAAACCAAGCAACGAAAAGAAAAGACTAAGTGTGATATGATTGCGGCTAATGCCGGCAACAAACGCTGCTGCCAATTAAGTCGTGAGACTGTCAAAGCTTAAATACCAAAAAAAAGAGATGAAACTAGAGCCGCAGGCAGCTCTTATGCAGCATGAGTAATGGACTTGAGTGCGCTGCCTCTTGTGGACACCTCAGCTGCAGGCTGGCCATAGATACCGATACTCATGCCCATACCCATACCCACACCATTGGATGACGTTGCAGCTGCCACCCACAATCCACCGACTGGATTGAGCGAAAGTTGGGTGCACAGCGGACACATGCGCCGGCCAAAGGTCACAGACGGAGGTGGCACACGCAGACAGGCTCCCAGCGGAGGCGTAAAAAAAAAACAAACATATTTGTATAAACATTCATTACCAGCTTAGGTGGCTTCACTTTGTTTGCGTCTCGTGTTTTTATGCATGAACAGCGGTGCGTATACTTAATGTTGGCATTGTTAACACTCAGCCAGCCAGTCAGCCAGCAGCCAGCCAGAAAATGCAAAAGCGAACTAACGAGGCATTAAAACGAATCAAATGGCCTCGTTGAGCACTCGTTAATAGCCGCCAGGCAACTGCAGTTGGTAGGGAGACCCAGTCCAGACCTAGTCCCAGTCCCAGTCCACTGAATCAGCAGCTTCATAAAAATGCCCTAACAAGTGTATAAAAACAAACTGTCACCAGATTGCTGACTCTGGTAAATAGTCGAGGACAGAGATTCGAATTCATGCGGCCATTGAATCAATTCATAATCGCTGGCTGTTGAGCAACATTGGCAGTCTTGGCAGTCCGATATGCACATACGAGTGTCTGGGCGATTATGCGATAATATCTGCATGGAAATCCAATTCCTTTGTGCGCTGCCTCCTTCCCATCAGAATTCAATAAAGGTTTCGCATATGATTCGTTTATTGGTACTTTGATGCCCTTTGCATCATCAGCATCGGCATCCGCTGAAGTAGCCAAATCGAATCTGCAATTGCTCTTTTCTGCCACGTTCACTCGTATCTGTGAGCTGTGAGATGCCGTTCCCTTTATTGGCCAAGCGGGCAACTGGCTTTAACAACTTTATCGTGCATTCGTTTTGGGCCGTAAACCTTTATGCCATGTCTAGCTCAGGTGGTCACGTGAGAGACGTGCCCAATGAGTTCATCATAAAACTAAATTATGCCGTCATAGTCACAGTCACAGTCGACATTCTGCTGCAGCCCCCGATGATATCTGTTCAGAAACCTAAAACAAAACCCAAACTCTTGGATCAGTTGGGAAACTTTTATGCGGCCATTGTGACTTATATGGCGGAAACCATATGGAGTATTCGCGTTTCCCCTGCCAACGCACTCGGGTAGTTACCTTCAGCTGTCACATGTCCCCGCGAGTTCTTAATAAATAAAAGCAAAGCAATGGGAATTTTGTTTATAGGCATTGTGCGTGTCAAATGAGTAAACGCAGCGCATGGTTGTCGGGTGGGGTGCAGCGCGAAAAGGGGTTCACAATAGATAACAAGAAAAATATGATAAAATACAACAATCGAAGCTCCAAAACAAAGCAATTTACTGAGCAATATTAGAGCTAGAGCTTTGCTCAGACTGTTAGCCCAAAAGTATTGCCTACTTTTTGGCTTGCAATGAATTATCCATGTCATGTCAGTGTAGATATGACATGTAGTTTGTTTGGTAAGACCAATGTAGAATTCCGAAAATTCATGTAGAAAATTATTTAATGTTCAAAAAAGTTATATTAAAGGGTCAAACAACCCAGGACACCCCTTCTTCTTTCCACTTCTAATTAACCTCCCCAAGTCCCCAGTACACAGGGGAACGTACGCAGGACACAACTCGTTAGCTGCCGAACGACTTAAAGAAGATGCTTCGATAAAAATTAGTTTCAAGTGGCCGTAAAAGCGAGCGAGTCATTGGCCCTTGATATAAATAAAGTTATATTCGTTTTATGGAGTGGTCTACCCGAGCCATAGATTTTACGGCTTGACAGATGGCTCGAGATAGGGCGAAATGTCGCCACATGCGACAGGCAGGCAGGCAGGCAGGCAGGCAGGCAGGACCGTCAGGTCAAGGTCGTAAACCGTGAGACAGAGAGACATAGACACTCAGACCGCAGTCATATAAATAGACACTGCTATTGAGTAAATATGTGCACTCCACTTGTGCTTTAGTATGGCACATAAATTAAGTAAACTTCCGTTTCCGTTTTGCTCTATGTACTTGCAGATGATTAAGATGATGCTGACGGTTGTGATTGTGTTCACCATCTGCTGGCTGCCCTTCAACATTCTGCAGGTGGGTCTTGATTTTACAACTTCTTTACTGCATTCTTTTTATCGTCCATCATTCGACAGCTTCTGCTCAACGACGAGGAGTTTGGAAAGTGGAAAGCCGCTGCCCTATGTGTGGCTGGCCTTCCACTGGCTGGCCATGTCGCACAGCTGCTACAATCCGATCATCTACTGCTATATGAATGCGAGGTTCCGCGGTGGCTTCCTGCAGATAATGTATCGCGTGCCCGGCCTGCGTCGCTGCTGCTGTCTGCATCGGTATCTGCGCAGCCGCGGCGAACGCAGCTACGAAGCAACCGGTGAGATGACCTTCAAGTACCATCGCCGAAACGGTGATGGTCTAGTCAGGAAACCTAAAATACGAATTAGGTGCCACCCCTCTCTCTCTCTCTTTCTAGTATCTAATTATTTTGAACATCTAATTGTCATCTAAATTTATTGTCTCTCGGTCTGTCTGTACTTACCAGCTAGTACGAGTCTATCTATCTCTCTATCTCTCTATCTATCTATCTGTCTGTCTGGGAATGCGGTTCTTTCTGTCCGTAGTAGCCATAGCTTTGTTCCTTTCGTTCTGTTCTCTAGACCACTTACGAGTATTGCATGACACTCACTCAAGCAGCACTTTGTCGCATTGTCGCATGACCAGCACCGCAACAATTGACTGTTGATTTGTAATTACTGATTATACTCTGATTATACTCTTCTATGAAATTTGCTAACTTTTCTCGTTACTGCCCGACCAAGGAACCGAAGAGGCCTTCCACCTGCATCGTGTGAACACCTGCACCACATACATCAGCACAAGGCGAAAGCTACGAGCGAATTCTATGCAAGCGGTACGACATTCACTTATATCCTTAAACACATCACAGTACATATGTTCTTCTCATCCAATTAGAGCCAATTTTCATGTGCAGAGACCACAGTTTTGCGGTAGCTGCCACACCCGAGGCACGGCGACTACCGGCTGCACGAGAGTTTCATGTGAACGGCAGGAACTGCACGGAGTTCTAAATGGAAGATGGAAGCAAGCAACCAAAGAATCGAATCTCCTCACCCGCAGACACCTTCTCTGTCTATCTATCTGTCTGTATGTGCGAGTATCTGTGTGTGTGTGTGTGTGTGAATGTGAATGTTCTAAGTGTGCGTATTGTAAATTTAAATGTAAAATGTCGACTCTTTGTAAGTTTAATGAATGTATATTAAAGTTAATCAATTAAAACGAGAGACACTTTCAAACATACATACATAGGTAAATGTGTGCTGAATCCCTAGAGGGATGGGGGGGTATAGAGTGGATCTGTTGCGAAGCATTTACCATTTATTGCACAATCGTAAAGAACCGTGCAATAGACACCTGTATAATTGATCTAAATCTCTGGAGCCTAATCCTACAGTAGTACAAAGATGTAGAAAAATCACTTGACTGTTCCTGTTCCGGTTTGCGTTGCATCACCAAATGCGACACTTGGGCCGATTGGGATTCATGGCCGAGCCGCGGGCACACCTGAAGGTTCGCGCAAACTCCTCCGAATTGGAGAGCACTCCCCTCAGGCGCATCTGGCCTGGACAATGCGAGTCGCTGAGGGCGTAGCGCGAGGCGGCTGGCGTGTATGTCTCGCACCACAGATTGCCGAACGCAATGAAGAAGAGCTGCTCGTGCGTATAGTGCTCCAGGCCGGGCAGCTTCGCTCGCTCCCGTCCCATCTCCTTCACGTATATTCGGTAGGCGTAGAAGGCCTCACGCATCCCACCATTATCGGCAATATTCTCGCCCAGTGTCAGTTCCCCATCGATCTGTGGGGGGAACAAACATAAATGATTTATATATACCTTAAAACTTGGCCATAAATCTCACAGTACTCACGTATTCATCAATGTCCGCGAGATGATAGCGACTGTACTGTTCGACGAAGCACTCTGTGCGGTTGACGTACTCGCTGATTGTCTGGTTGGACCACCACTCGACCATGTTGCCGGCCCTGTCGAAGCGCCGTCCGCTGTCATCGAAGCCATGGGTCAGCTCGTGCCCCAGGATGGTGCCAATCGAGCCATAATTCAAAGCCCTAACAAGGACACAACAATTCAGTTGCAATTCCAGAAGGGGATTAGAGTGCTGTGGTGGGGGTGGGGAGGGGTGCTCGGTGCTCGCTGTTTTGTTTCATTTTTCTGTGCAAAGTGCGCAAAGCGGAGTGCCCGGAGCGTTGCTCGATGTGGAGCGACAGACTTAGACTTACTCGAGGCCAAGGTCATAAAACGGATACTGCAGAATGGCAATGGGAACCGCTGCAAATGAAAAGACAATAAGGATTAGGAACTCGATGGGGAATAGGACGGCGATAGGTGGGGGCCACCACACTCACTTATGGCATTTGATTGAAATGTGTGGAAGGCATTTACATTAGAGGGCGACGTTGCCCATCCAATTGGCTCCGGCTTATCCATTTCGTTCAGTTTCTCCATCATCTGCCAGTGCACGAATCCCATGAGGTTCTCCAGGTGCATGCTGGCATTCACCTCCGCCCCCTGGTAGTACGCATTCAGGGCCGTGCCATTCCGCAGCCACGAGGGAAAGCCAATGAAGCTCTTCATCTCGGCGGACTTTTGCATCGTCTTTCGCTTGGTGGCCGCATCCATCCAGGCTGTGGAGCGCACCAGGCGATCGAATGCTCGTCGTATGTCGCTCAGCATCCGCTCCACACGCGGCAGCTTCTCCCTGGTGAACTCCTCGTCGGCCAGCACATAGCTGACGGCCATCCCGAACAGGCTGTTCACGCCATTGGCGCAGTACAGGGATCGTGGTGTGCTGCCCTCAGTGCCGATGGCCAGACGCATGTACTCCGAATGGAGCAGCCGCATTCCGCTGGTGGTGTGCAGCGCCAGCTCCTCGATGGTGCTCAGCCAGAGGTAGGACTCAATGTGGGACGGTGGCGTCTCCTCCAGATACTCCACCACGTTCTGCAGATAGAGGATGTCCGCCTGGCTGGTGATGATGGTCAGTTTGCTGGTCATTTGGCTGTTGCCCGCATGCCGGGTGCCCTTCAGTATGAGCTCCATGTACCGCATCCAGATGGGCAACGTCTTTGGGGCGATGTTCTTGTCCGTCTGATTCTGCAGTTCCATCAGCGATATATATATAATATCATCAGCGGGATTCTTTGAAGGTTTCGTTGAGTTTTCAGCATCTTCTTTCAACTGCAAATGGGGAATATGTACTTCGATTCGGAAGGAGTCTGTTCTCTTACCTCATGGATTTTGCGTGCCACTTTAACGCCTTGCTTCACCAGCTGCGAGATGCCGACAGTGGCCTCCTCCTGGTTCACATTGGGATCCACGTACAGCAAATACTTCTCGATGACCTTGCGGATGTAGTTGAGGTAGGCCGTCATGCCAGAGCTCGTCTGCTTGGCCGCTTCCTCCTCATCGCTCTCGAGCTCGTCCTCGCTGTCCTCCTCGTCGCTGTTCTGCATGAATATGGTCTGTCGGTGGATCTTGCGCAGCAGCTTGTGCGAGTCATCGTTGTTGCTGCAACACGCTCAAGGATTACACACCCTCAAAGGATAAAGGATAAGGAATTTGGTACACTCACAAGGGAAACGCTGATTCGGTTTCGGGTGTGCCCAGGGCTATGCGGTTGATGGTGCGATTGAAGGGATCGGGAAACACATCGAAGCCGATGATCAGGTCCATGCTGAGATGCTGTTTGATGGCCACCATCGATTCCAGCCAGTTGTAGCTGGCATTTGCCGACTGCGCCGCATACTTGGACCCACTGTCCAGAGTCAGATTGAGGGACGTGGGCAGCAGTGGCAGCTGGAAGCGCAGCAGATAGCCGACCAGGGGCTCCAGATTCCGCTCGTCCAGCTGCTTTGTGTTCATGCAGGCGCCGTACATGGTCTTGGCCTTGCCCACAGCCTCCGGCTCGGCGCTGCTGATGTTCGATCGCAGGAATTCCCGCACCACGCGCATTATATGCGCCTGTCGCTCCCGGAACCAGTCGTTGGAGGTCACCGAATCGGGACGCGGATGCTCCTCGGCCCAGCGGCCGCAGGTGAATTTGTAAAAGTCCTCGCAGGGATCAGTCTGTTCATCCATCGCATAGACGAGGCTGGCCGCTGAGCGGATGCACTCCCGGCTGCGGCAAATCGCGTTGGGTTTCTTAACTGCAAAAACAAATGGGTCAGGGCTGCTGCAATCAACTCGGCGGCACTTGCGACTACTCACTGGATACGCTTAGGACTATGATTGCTATCAGCAGAATGATTACCAGCGCCAGCAGGGCACCCAGCACGACTTTGTGGTAGTAGCTGCGTCGAAATCTGAGTGGCAGAGCATAGAGAAGATAATTAAAAGGACATCAGGCCGCGCCACCCAAGGGGCCATTCCACTCCACTCACCTCGACTGGATCCCAATCAGAGTGGGGCTTATGCGCTGGTAGGGCAGTTGTTTGCCTTGAATGCTCTCCGATGCCGATGCCGATGCCTGGCCATGGCCATTGGCCATCCCGTTCCCGTGCCCGTTGGCGCTGCCATTCCCGCTGATGGCACGAACCGGCGCGGACAATAGGCTCAGAGCACCTGTAATGGATGAACATACGCAGGGGCAGGGGTACTTGGGGTAATTGGGTCTCCCTCTGACGGCGCAATCGGCGCCGAGGAATGTGTTTTTTCGTGGCACGTTTTATTAGCACTAATTAGTATAATGCTGTCAATATTTTTCTGTCACAACTCCACACTCCCAAACCACCCTGGGGAGGGAGCTTCGTGTTTTTACAGCTGGTGGCACTGTCCTATCTTGATCGGGGGCACAGTGACAACGCAACTCCGTGCGTCATTCGGTTTCGGAGTGTCCCCCTCTCCCCATGAGCTGCACTTTTGCGTCCCTAATCGCATTCCTAATGCATACACCTGTCACACGTCACGTGTTCCGCGCTTGCGGAACTGCATAGCTGAGCCACTGCCAGACCCAAAGGGACACTGGGTTCAATGGCCTCAAAAACAGGTTTTTGCGTGTCCAGCGATAGTTAAGCCCATTTTAAAGCGTTTCCAGAACTAGATAATGCAGGCCGATTGGAGACTGAATATCCCAGTCATTATCTGTCACGCTTCATTTATATTTTCAGAGCGTTCCCTTCGGGTTCCCCAAATTGTCAGTACAAAATTCAAAAATGGGCTTTAGCATGTTATTAAGTTCCCCCAAGAAGTGGTTCAACACGACTGAAGTTGAGATGAACATGTTTGTGATGGCCGACGACGTATACAACATGATGGAGATATTCAGTGAGGCGGCCACCTTCCAGGCCCGGATGATCAAGCACATTGATCATATGCTCGAGATCTGCGACGTTCTGGTCTTCATGCTGCTGGCCACCATTGTCGGTCAACATATGTTTCGCCATTGCTTGCAAAAGCTGCAGAGAACTGTTAGCCGCAGCACCTCGAACATTCCGCGAATCATGGCCCAAATGAAGAAAATCAAGGAGAAGCAGAGTATTCGGGGCAGCAACGCCAACTTCAGAGAAGTCGAAGAGGAAAAGATAATCAGCGGGTGGAATACAAAATATATCCAGAATCAAATTGTACAGGGCTATGCCAGGAGCCCCATGATGGCAACTAACATCAGGAACGATAACAGCGAACCGAAGAAGTTTTCACGTAGAGTCCCGGATGATGACGAGATCACACTGAAGCCACCGGTGGTGGAGAACTACTCAGCCAAGCTGATCGGAACGCCAGAATGGGCTGCCAATTGCTTGGCCACGGGCGGACCACGCCAGAAACCACTGCATATAGATAGTACAGGTAGCTCTCAAAGTCATTTAGCTGAGTGAATTACGAGCGACTGCACCAGGGGACTGATGTTGTGGCTTTGCGGTTAGTGATTCAAATCGGACGCTCAAAACGAATACAAGTATTATCATCATCAATTAAAAGAAATATAAGCATGGACATGACTCATTCAATTGAATAACACTCGAGGGTGTGGGGTCTTTTTGGTCTTTTGGTCTTTTGGTCTTTTGGCTCACCTGGTGTCTGCTGTCTTTGAAGGGGCAGCGGCTGCTGCTGCAGATTCTCGTGAAAGAATCCATGATTTGTATTGCCCGTGGTCCAGATGCGATTACGCTCATCCATGGCGTCAGTGGTCAGTGACTCAAACTACAGATAAGTGCATTTTCTGTGATTTTTCTTAGCTGCTCGTTGTCTGGTGATTTTTCCAAGCACTTTACGGCATCTCAATGAGCAGCGATAACTGAACACTATTCATCTGTATGCACGTCACATCGCCCACATGTTGCGCTGCACTGCACTGCGAAATCTCAGTGTGGATTCACAGTCTTCAAAGAACTGCGAACAGTCTCTATCAGAGTCGTGGAGGGGATTTTTAGGCCATTGCATAATTTGGCATAGTGCAGACAGAGAACAGAACAGAACAGCCACTAGCACAGCCAGGAAAAACTCTATAAAAATCGACTCAAGTGGAGACAGTGCTGCAGGCGACTGGACGGAGCTGCCGACTACCGGCGTATTGGAGCCCTGGCGTCGTCAACAGAACGTATTTATACGGCAGCACCGATACGGCCCCAGGCACCAGCACTAGCACCAGCACCAGTGGCAGCAACCGAATAACAACAATAGCAGAACTACAACCAACAAATCAGGCAACCCCCATTAACTCCTTTGGCCATGCAAATGTGCTGCGGCAATTACGGAGGGGGAGCCCACCACACCACCACAACCATGGCACAGCACAGGCACAGCTCTGTCAGTGTCTGACTGTCCTGCATGTTGTCCCTATTGTTGTACGTTCCAGCATACCCCTTAGGGGAATGAGTCCATTGATTTTCCGTAGGGATTACACAGGATTAGTTTACCCTAAATCAATCAAAGCAGTTGCAACTGGGGAAGCCCACAGCATAATCTTCCATCTCTGAGACATTGTCATGCATGTATCCTCTCTAGGGTATTCCCTACTCCTCACACTTCACTCTGAAGCGTCCAATTCCTTCGCTTGTGAATCCAAAACTCACACGAACAGAGGCCAATCGACCACAATCCAATCCGATGTCCTGAGGCCAGTGGCGTAATGAGAAAATAAATGGCATTACAATGGGAAGCCATATACATATATATTGAGTATTACATATTACATATGGACAGATATTTACTATGGGCAGTTGCTAATTGATATGGACTTCCACATAGTACAACATATACTCGCACGATTGCATGATTGATGACCCTGCGCAGTGCTTCGATCAGGACACGGCACTGACTGAAAAACGTGGAAGAACACCTAATAATAGTAATTAAATGGTGGCACTTTGCCCGCCCACTGGCGGAATCCACAATCATTCGCATTGTTTGCCCTAACTTTGACATAGTTTATTGTGGGAAATCGGAATCGATAAATGATATTGATTTCTACATACGACTAGGAGTACGAGTGCCAGTACGAGTACGAGTGTGAGTGTATTTATGAATGCAGCCAACTCGTCGCGCATACGCCCCCGCTGTTAGCTGTTAGCCGAAACTCTGTTGCAATGTTGTATTTGGTATGCCCCCCTGCTCCTGCCATGTATTTGCACTTACTATGAAGTAATTGGTTTGCCCAGCGGTGGGCGACCGACTGGTATGAGTATTATTATTATTATTAATAAGTAAATAAATTTTCCACCAGGTATACACACATGCCCGGCCACTGTAATGGCTTTTGGTTTTCTTTCGGGTTCAAAGAACTTTACTTTGCTGTCATGTACTTGCATACATTTTCGTTTTCGTTGTTGTTGTTGTTAACATACATTTTTGAAATGATTTTTCGTACTCTAGGACTACAATATAATTGCATGCAGCTTAGCTTAAACACTGGGGACACAATGGACAACCAGGCGCGGAAATATGACACGAATATGTTAACACTGACTCGACGATAGGTGATTAAAATGCCTTAACTTAGATCGGATTCTGCCTGGGATCGGCCAGCATTGGTGGATTCCATTGGGTGGATTATACATATGTTTTTTGTGCATTAAAATACAAATTATAAAACAACGACCCCTGGACAGTTTGGCCTGCCTTTCTGTGGTGGGTAAAACTTTTGTGCTGCAAAGAAAACAATAATAGAAAATTAGAAATATTATCGGATTGGATTGGAATATTTTCTGAACATGGCAAGCCATTCGATCTTTCTTTCACACTGTCAAAAAGTCGTACATCGACAAATGTAGCTTTCCCTCAGTCTCTAAAATCTGTTTGAAGCCAATACACAGGTAAAACTTTATAATAATTTTTGGCTCTTAAAAGTATTTGTCGAAACGAGTAAAACAAACCCCGGAACCAACAGAAAGTTGTTGATCTTTTTTTTGTACAAAAGTTTGCCCTGACTGTTCGTGAGAATGGATCGCGTTTTCGGAAATGTTGAGAACAAGCTGAAGAGCATGATGAAGATGGAGAGCAAGGGAATGGCCCTGAAGCTGGTGGGATTCTACGCCGTTGGCTATACCCTGCGCAAGTTAATCAAGTAGATGGCCAAAGTTGCAGTGAATGCCGTCCCCAAGCCCAGATGTTCGTCCGTTTTGTGCCAGTCTTTGGCTCACATTTAAAAATTCAATGTTCAAATCGTTTGAGGGATAATAAATTATGATCTCACCTCCAAATCACATTATCGCAGCTACTCGAGCGACTCGAAGGTCTCGTTTAGAGGACTTTGAGCACACACTTGCAGCAGGAGGGTATCTGGAAGGACTCCTGGGCCACGTCCAGCTCCTCGCCGCTCGTATTGCGGATGCTGGCGAGCATTCGCATTACATAGTGCTGCTTGCAGATGGGCTTATATCGCTGCGGGAAGCTCGATGAGTAGTCACAGGGTGTATCCTTGTTTCTAAAGGTGGGAGGAATTCAAAATATTTTATTTATGGATTGGACATGGATTGACAGCTGCTTACTCGCACTCCTCGACTAGGATGCCCTGCTTGAACTCTTCGTTGTTGACTATAAACTGCCAGGTGTTGTCCGACTTCCGGCCTGACTGGGGGTACAGGTACCTGCGATGGCTCCTGCACAGGAACACCTCGTCATTGGGGCCCAATCGTGAACTGATATCCGTGGGCACGGGCTCGGGATCACTGAAGAAATGGGAGAAGTTCTGCGCGAGCTTTCCCTTAATGCGCGACAGATCCGGATAGTTCTCCACCTGGGTGCAGAAGGACTTGGACTTTTGATTGGTCTGATCCTCGACGCACTGGGGTACATCCGGCGTGATCACTGGCGGCGTGGTGGTGGTCCTCATCTGGTGCATGACTGCTGAATCGGGATAGACAATAGCTGAAGTTAGGCAGCGCCAAAGGCAGTTGGCCGTGAGTATGGGATCGATTTAGTTGTTAATTGTATTGCGGGCGGGCGTGTATTCGATTCAACGAGTATAAAATGTAGCTGAACTGGGTACCGTACCACACCCCACGGTACTGGACTACTTACGGTTCTCTGGCGGCGTTCCCGTCCTGTGGGCATGATTCGGTTGCTCTGGCATCATTGCCGCTGCCGGATTTGTGCCCTGCAAAGAGACGAACGTATCGTTAAAGACCAGATTCAGCTTGCCGTCCGGGGAGCGCTGCACTTTGAAGTATTGATCTTGTTGGCTCAGGCTGTGATATTGATGGTAATGGCTTGGCTGTGGCTGTGGCTTGGACTGTGGCTTTAGACTGTGGCTTAGACTGTGGCTGTGGCTGTGGCTGTGCCTGTGTCGGTTGCTGGGTCTGGGACTGGTCGATCATGGTGTGTATGGGCATGAGGGGTGCATTGTCCGTTGTCGTTGTCTGTGCAGGTAAAATTCTCGTTTTAGTCTCCAACCAAATACAAAAGACACACAACACACACACACAAACAAACAAACACACACACACACAACCCAACAAGTGATTTAATGAAATGAGAATGCAATGGGATACGAGTATGTGGTGGTGGGGGGGTCACAGAGTGGTATGGGGTGGGGTCAGAGGGTGGTGTAGGAGACACTTACATTGAAAAGATGCACACCTGCGTCGTCGGTCACTACGAAAAGCTCAGTAAGGATTTGATTGAGATCCTTGGCGGGCAACTGAAGCGAAAAATGGCAGAAAACAGAAGAAGGGAAAAACGCTTTATTCTCTATTGGCAAATGGAAAACTGGAGGGCCACACTACACACACACAACACAACACAATACAACAGAAAAAAAACAAAGGACAAATGGGAGGGGTGGGGGGTATGGATTGGATTGGATTTTGGAAGGGGTTGTCGTTGTACGTGGCACAATGTGGCAGCATCTGCCATAGGTTCACACCTCCTCCGGCTGCAACTGATGATCCTTTCTCTCCGCTTCGTCTGGATTCTCCTTGCCCTGATTCTCCTTGGCCTTGTTTCGTAGGATGTGCAGCAGATTGTCGGACATAAAGTCGGACATATCTGTGGGGTTGGGTGGGTGGCCTGCTGCTCCGGCAGCTGCCAGGGCCGCCAATTCTGCAGCTGCAGCCGCTGCCGCTGCCTCAGCTTCGCGTCGTTTCGATATTTCGCTATTGATACAAACTATCTGAAAGATACATGTGGAAGATTTGTGTTTGCGGTTCATCAACATTGCCAGGACAACGTAGTGTGTTGTGGGGAAGCGGGGGGATACGTTTTGTAGCACGGTCGATTCTGTCTATCCGTATGTCTAGCTGTCTGTCTGTCTGATTGCCACACAGTCTCTCCCTCTCTCTCTCGCTCTCTCTCTCTTATTTTTGAACACTACATTTTGGTATTTGAACATTTGAACAGCTGTTTTCTGAGCAAGCGCAGTTTTCATTATTTTTTCTCTCTCTCTCTATCTGTCGGTTGTAGTTGTAGTCGCTTGTACTAGTAGTTGCCGTTGAGTTAGGACCCGAACCCCACACAACGGCTGACAACAGCTGCTGGGGTTCAAGTGCTGATAGCCGCCGGTTCCTAGACCTTTACTATATTTAACCCCCAAGTCTTATACTGGGCTTATCGCTGCCCAAAAACTATTCGTTTAATTGTCGTTTTGCAAGAGAAAATGTTTTTTTTTTGGGGTCTGGTCTGGACAGAGCGATCGTGACTGTATAATCAGCAGAAATGAGTTGAACTGAGAGAGGCGAATGAGTGTGATGCAATGAATGGGCTTGATGAGAACGAACAAGTTGGATGAATAAGCCTTCCTCACAGAAAGAGAGAAAGAAAGAATGAAAGTCCAAAAAATTAACTCGATTGGTAGGCCCTTGCCATTCAGAGTTTACCCAAAACATTGTGGGACTTTCACACAAAACCCGATCTTAAATGCCACCCAACTTGAACTTGATTCCATCAGCGCTTTTTTTTCAATTTCTCGTTAATGTTTTTTCCCAAGTATCTAGCAACCATTTATCAAATATTGGATAGTTTTTCCATCATTGCTTTTAGGTTTTCCACGAACTCAATGGAATTTAGAATGGCTGGCTGATCGTCGAGACGTGCTGTGTGACGTGTAAATTGTGAAATTCCTGGAAAACATATCAGACAGAAACTAGCAGTGGCACGGGGCGGGAGAGCTTCAAACACATTTTCTGACAGTTAATTGTGCAATTTGTCATTAGTTCCGAGTAATTGCCTCAAGCTGTTGCTGTTGCTGCTGCCGTTCGCACAGAGATTATCATCCCTTCGTAATATTTGCCAAGTCGTGTGCAGACCGTATGGTATGGGATTATTGTTGTAATGTCAATGCTATGCATTTATTAGAACAGAGAAAAGTGATCATGAAAATTGCACATACAATATATTGTTGCTGGCATTGTGAACAGGTTTGCTACGATTCCTATAGAAAACAGACTCAAAGATGCCCTTCGCCTATACACTTTGTATGAACAATCCCAAGCAACCCGAAAATGTATCGAAAATATGAAGTGACTAAGCCAAAAATTGATCAAGAATGTATGCATGCATGTGAGTGTTTCCCAATGTGGCGCATGATGTAATTAATGTGTGTGAAAAGGGAAATGCTCTCAACACAAAACAGATATAATATTAAATATTGAACTGAAGGACTCACCGTGGTAAAGAGGGCGAAGAGGAGCACCAAAATTTTGATCAGCTGGTACCACATGGGCGGCATTTTGTCCGATATCGGTTATGTATTCTCGTACTCCAATATGGTATAGGGGATTCTGTGGACGGCTCTGGGGGCAGCCGTCTGTGTCGTGTTTTGGTATACAGGTACGAGTGTATATAGAGGCGGCGATGATCGCTTGGTCTGGGGCTTATTCCGATTTTCTTATTGCTTCAACTTTGTTTTTGTTTTTTTTTTTCCGCAGTTGTTGTAGCCGCTTTTTATGAGCTTGGCGTATACCCGTATATAAAATAAATAAACTGGCACGACTAAATATTAATGCCGGACTTTTGTTGGTAGTGGTAGTATTATTATTATTTCTGTTGTTGATGATGATGATGACGATGTTGTAGTTGTTGCTGCTGCTGCTGCTGCCGTAGTTGTCGTTTGGTTAATATATTTATAAATATTTTGTGCGTTGGGCTCTTTCTGATGTGCTTTTTATTCCGTTTTGTTTGTTTCCTTTGCACGCTTGCGAAACGAAGAGAGCGTGATACGAAGGGGGAGAGTGGAAGACAGGCACTTCAATTAGTCGGTTTGCTTTTCACTTTAGTTTCTACTGAACCGTTGTTGTTTTCGGTTTCGATTCCGAATCCGATTCCGAATTAAGCTCAAGCTCAAGTTTAATTTTGATTTTCTTGGATCGGATGGAGAGCGGGGCGTGTAATGTTGGGCCTGGGGCTGTGCCTGTGCCTGTCCCTTAGCCGGCGTAAAGTGAAACCAATATCGCAGCGGGCATGCGCTTTTATGGAACGAGAACCATCTGCCTCTGGGCTTTTCCGATCCGTATCAGATTAAAGAGTTTCACAATGTCGCGCACACAGACTGCGCGCGCGAGCGTCTTTGGGAGTCTTTGACATTCAGTTAATTAGCCAGATGCACACAAGCGGAGCACAGCGGGTCGATCGGGAGGAAGCGAAAGCGTCTAAGAGAGCGCGCGACTGCGAGGCAACTGAGCAAAAAGTTTGACAAGCCCCAGCACGGGCGCACCAAACAATTGTCAAGTGCAGCTTTAGCTTGAGCTTAATCGCGGAGAAAGAGAGCGGCGCCCCAGAGAGAGAGAGCGAACACACGAGAGCCAAGCTGTCATAGGAGGGGAAGAGCGCAGGCCTAGAGAACACAGATATCTTGGATTTTATTACAGACAACAGCCGACAGCCGGCGCCGCCCTGCTAATTGTTTGTGGCTTCGTGACAAACACAATTTATTGTTAATCAATTATTAAAGATTAGCAGGAAATTTGGAATACTTTCGAAACCCAAAGAAGATGATACAGCGACTTGTAGAGCTTCCCGCAGTCGCCTTAGCTCAACGACTAAGCGATCAGCTGTAGCGTAGGTTGCGCAGGTTGCTGAAAGTAAAAGTGAAGCGTGAGCTTTTTCCCAGAGCTTTGGACTCTCACCCACCTGCTCTCCCAGTCTCGTAGGCGTCACCTACTTTGTATGCTGGGCGGTGCGACACACGTCAAATCCCCCGGCGCACGCGTCATGGGAGTCACAAAATCTGGACGATTATAGCCCCATCTGGCAGGCAGCGTGGCTATAGCGGCGGGAAAGACGTTTATTAATGAATCATGGGTATATCCAGTCGAGATCGAACGCTGACGTTTCCCCCATGCCATGAACGGCATCTGTTCATAATCCGAACAATGAAAGTGCGACGAGTGTGTCGTGGCCCATGCACGCCTTGAACTTGTCTTGGCTAAGGGCATTTATCGAATGTTGAGGTATTTCTGGAAGTGACGAAGCCTCACTGATTACGTTTACAATACATTTTTCTATATTCCATTGAAATATCGTCTGCTGAATGAAATTCGAATGAAATTTTTTTTTATCGACCAACATATGTACATATTTTCTTCAATAAATTTGATGACGAACCTTTAATGCTTTATATATCACAATCAATGTTTAATGCAGTGATGAAACATGTGCTTTATGGCGCATAAATATGTAGTTCTTGAAACTATGGCGCAACTTGATAGTTGAGTCATGTCTGCAAAAATTCTTCCATGTTCACTCATGTTTTCTAAGACTATGTATACAGTACCCACAGAGGAGCTCATGAAAGTCAAGTAATAACTCACAAGATTCCCGAGAAAATAAACTCCATGCAGTACTCTAGAATTGGTCTTTACATAAAATAAAAAGAGTTGTAGAGTATTCCAAGGAGTAATTTTAAAATGCAAATTGCCAGCATGCGGGCTAAATCCGTTGATTTATATTTAAAAACAATTTAGTTAATTTCATTACATACTTAAGGGATTCAAATAATTTATTGCATATTTCTAGGCCACTTATGAAAACCGAATTTCATTAATCTGAAATTTTGGGGGAAAACCTTTGGCTGGACTTGGAGAAATTTTTGTATGTTTCCATTTGTATACTATATTTCTAAAAAAGAATTATTTTAAGTGTCAAATATATGTATGTACAACATAAAAAACATACATACATATCTATGTATTACAAATTCAAGAAGCTAAAAATAGTTGCTTGCATATTTTAGTTATCCACCTTTACATATGGTGTATTAAAGTTTAGAATGGTAACACGTTAATTTTGTATTTTCGGTTTGCTCGAATTGAAGTATGATTTGGTGAGAGGTGCTGAATTCAATGAAAAATATGTTATTTCATAAAATTCTATAAAACAGTGCGAATATTAAGGATACCTAAGGCATTTCCACATTGAATTTCTGGCTCAAATTATATAATATAATCTTGTGATGAAATCAACTAAAATTTATCAGAACTAGACTCTGGAATGGAAACTGGTTGTGCTCGTAGTGAATACGTGTCTATCTCGATTTCTTAAGCTTTTCGGCTCAACGATTATGCAACATTTGCCACTCCCCATAAATCAAGAGAGCCCGCTAATAATAAAACTGCGCGTGCAGAGATTTGTGGTTGTAATTTGGTTCTCGTTTGGCGAATGAGTTGATCCAATTAAGTTAATAGTTATTAATTGGTGGCGGAACAACTTCATTAGAGGCGCCACTAATCGATGTGGCACCTTGCGTGTGGCATGGCCAAGGAGGAACTAGAGTGGAGGGCCCAGAAATTGGCTAATCGAGCGCTGATATGATGGCATCAAAGTCATGGCAAGTCAAGCGAGCAAACGACTCGCTCGTCTCCCGGGTCAAGTTAACGAGAAAATGGTGAAATAAATTTAATGACAGCCTGCCTACGAGGCGTGTGTTTCTGTTCTGTGTGTGTGTGGATAAATAATGAAATTGCATTTCACATTCAATAAAATATTCAAGTGGCCGCAATTAAAGCGGCAGCGGGGAAAAATGTGGACGCACCACTTCATCGTTTGCCAAATGCAATTCCCGGCGTGACAGCCCCACAGCGACATGCAACGCTGCACATGCCACCACCACCTGGTAGCGGAGGGGGAGGGGGTTACTTATGCGTTGGCTTCGAATACAAAATTCGACACAGGCCACCAGGACCAGAAGTAGCAGCACCAGCACCAGCACCAGCAGCAGTAACAGCAGCAACAGCAACAGCCGTGGTCGTAGTCTTAGTCGTAGCACCACCTGATGTTACTCAAGCACAATTTGTCAGGCGATTGCATCATGGCCATAATCCAAATGAATGCCACACGGGGTCTCCTTCTGCCACACAGAGGAGTGGGGGGGGGCATGATAAAGATGCCCCGCTCATTCAAGAGCTAGACAAATATCGATGCAGAGCTTCACAGGCTTTCACTTTTCCTTGGCCATATCCATATCCACATACACATACACATCCACATCCAGATCCAGATCCCCTCGACACACTTAAGTGCCAAATTGAATTGAATTGAATTATGCTGTGCAGTTTCCGCCAAAAAGAAACAAATAAAAGACAGCAGAAAATGCCAAAAATAAACGGGTTCACTTCCGATATGGATTGAAAATATTTTGTCGCCTGCTCGGGCAGTAATAGGTGCAGCGGCAGCAGCAGCAGCGGGGCACTGTGGTAGGGGCACTGGCAGAGGCTGCTGCGAATTTTGAAGTTGAAGTTGAAGTTCATTGCGCAACTAACGAGCGGCCAGCAACAGCAAACAGAAACAGGAAGTCCAGGAAGCGGACTCTTTGGTGGCTGCCCCATGCTCTGGCCGAGGCTTTTCTAGCATTTCCCAATGCGCAACGGCCTGTTATCGCATTTCACGTTACACTCTGAAAACTTTTCACAACACATTTTCATTTTCATTTCGCCTGTTTATTTTGCTTGCCAGCGCCAGCAATTGCCCCACGTCAATTAACAAAAAAAAATAAAACAAAAAAATCCGAGGAAAACCCGAGAAAAGTGAGCGAAAAATTAATAGTACATGTGTGCATGCTGTTCGGCCTCGGACTTTGGCTGGACGCGAATCAAAACTCGATCTCCAGCCATAATGCCAGGAAGTGGAACTCTGGCTGAAGAGATTTTTTTTTGCCTATTTATTTATGAGAGGGCTCTAGACTTGCATTCCTTTGGGTTTATTGCATATGTTTTAATTATTGTTTTATTACACATTGACCATTATCTCATCGTTTATTCCATCGGCCATTTGCAGCTATAAAGCATACAACATGTGACAGAGGCTTCCTTCCTGCTTGACTTGGCTTCTACTCACATGTGTTGCGTTGGCCGAAAAGTAGACCTCCATTGCATTAGATTCACTTTCTGTGCAATCAACTCGAACTAAAGTCGCTTCATCGCAAATTTGTAATAACCACAAATTATTCAAAGCAAAGAAACATTCACAACTCTCCGCCAGGTTGACAGTTCCATAAACAGTGGGCAAAATAAACCCTCAAATAATTATTAAAACAATTCATGTTGGGAACAATGTGAGTTGGTGGGCAATAGGCGAAGTCCGAATTACCCTTTTCTTTATTAAAGAAACTGAAATTTGTCTGGAGAATATTAGTTGCAAAAGGTATTAAGACTTTGTGTTGTTCTTTGAGGTCAAAATACATAAGGAACTCTGAAGATTTTGTACACAAAAAATGTTCTCCAAGGATTATATGTTTGCCAGTACTTTTGAGCAGTTACAGAAAGCCTGTAATTTAAAATTAAAAAAAGATAACTGCCTCGCTATAGAGCATCCCTTTGCTTGCCTAACTGATGGCAAAATCAGTTTATGTTGTGGCAACTCGCCGCCCCCCCCAAACCCAAACCCAATCGCAATTGCAGTGTGTCCCATTAGTATATATTCGCTAGCTATTACATGAGTTGGGCTTTTGCTTACATATATTTTTCATTTTCAATTACTCTGCAGTTGTCTGCCTGCCTTCTGCCTCTGTCTGTTTTCCTTAGCATTTTAACAAGTTTACAGTTTGTTAACTACGAGTGCTTAAGTATTATGTTTGGGTTAAGTTTTCTTCATGCTCTTTTCGCGTTTTGCATTTATGGCTTTGTTGGCAGTTGCAGTTGCAGTTGGTCTGTCTGGGCCCATTTCACTTTCGGTTAGATAACCGCTGTCCACAGCTGAGTGTGGATTGTGGGGTGGAGATATGTGTGCATGTGGACACAGCACTTGGCTGCGTAGGACTACGGTCCCACAGCCAGACAATAGCTAATTCTTCTGTCACCATGTCACCATGTATAGTTTGAAGTGGAGACTGGGAATCGTCTTTGCCCTGTTTGGCTTAATTGTTTGGCGTGCTTACGAATGAACTGCTTCTGGCCGCAGCCTCTGACACACTGACAGTGAACTTTCATAGAGAGTTGGGCCACAATTTGTGGCAACATTAGCTAATGGCTTGCCCCCGGGTTCGCACGGGGTCTGTGTCTAAGCGGAGGCTGCAGTTGAAGGCTTGAGTCATAAGTATGCCCATTGCAATGGCTCTGGGTTCAAGGCTGTTCTCTCTCAATGATCCCCCTGTTTGAAACGTTAAGTGAGGTACAGGCCAAGAATATTCATTTTTGAGGGTTACTTGGGGTAGGTTTTTCGAAAAACAAATCGTAGATGGGGCACAAAATGCAAGTGAAGATAGATTTTTCTATCAAATAATATCATTATAATCTATATTATCTGTTTAAGGGCACTGCTTTCATGAAATTGCTTTACATTAAATACTCCTTTGCTCTTCTCAACGAAAACTTAATAAATGTCAACTAGGTGTATTGCAAATCAGATTTGAATAGTTTAATCGGAAAGAGACTACTATATCACTTGAACAATTCATTTCCATGTGCCTTTTTGAGGCTTCTTTTCGCCAGTGTTAGCCCCCCAGCTGTGTTTACTTCTAATTTTGTTTTGCAGATCTTCAACCGATCGAAAACAATTCAAGTTCGTTGCCTAAGTCTTTTGATTGGGCCATGTCAGCAAAAACCAAGTCAGCGGCGAACACGTTTCGAGCCACAACATTTAATGAGCCGCATTGCATTTGGTAGATTGCAACATGGTGCCGGTGCCATGCCACTCGAAACGCATTGAACTCGCTCATGTCGGTGTCGGTGTCGATGTCGAAGCTCATGCCGACTCACGCACATATTTCGGGCCAAGAGACTGCCTCAGACTCGGCCCCCACTCTCTGCGGTGTCAAGCTGCCAAAAAAAAAACAAAAGCATTAATAAATTGCCAGACAAAAAGAGCACGAAAGAGAGCCAACTCTTTGGAGTTCAGCTAAGAGCAAGGTGAAAAACAGCTCAAAATGCAACCGCCGCAGCGCTCTCAGCGTTTTCTTTAAAAGAGCCCAGGCCGCCGGATGCCGAGCACAGTTCGAGCCCAGACGTTGCCGAGGAGGGAGCCCACTTACCATACATAATACACCAAAAAGCATATAGCGGGAGATATAAACGATACCGAAACGGAACAACGGAACGTAACGGAACGTAACGAAACAAAACGCAACGGTGAAAGAAAGTCGCGAGTGAAATTTCAGTGTGGTTTTGTCTTCTCCTTCTACCGAAACGGCTGCGCGAATGCCGATGACAAAACAAACGTGAAGCGTGGTAAAGAGTGGTTCAACATCAAGTGTGTGGTTGCCATTGAGGCCCGCCCGAGTGCCAATTGCAAGTGTTGGTGGAGTGAAGAAAGTTGCAGACGCAGACGCAGACGTCATCAGTAAAAGTGAATTTTGATCTGGATTAGAGAATCAGCTAATCCTAGGCCCAATATAAGCTAAACCTACCAAAAAAATATAACAACAAATAAACTCAAACCAATAAACAATGAAGGTAAGTTCGAGTGCCGTCGATCCTGCAGTGAAAGTTGCCTCAGATAATGGACTAATTAGTGCATCGGTATGCCCCTTGCTGCTGTCCCCACTCCCACCCTCATGACAGCCATATCTCGTTTATGCAATTTCTTTTGCCAAACAAGTTCAAGTGCAAGGCATTCTGTGGGGAAACCCGTTTTATGTTGGCCACACATCGCTGACTTTATTAGCTAAGCCAGACCAGCGTGATGGCTATCGCACTCTCTCAGCCACACACACACCAAACGGAGGCAGAGACATGGCTACCAATGAATAGCTACAGATACCATTGGTTATGTAAGCTCTGGCTAACCCAAAAATCCCAATTGATGCATCGCTGCACTCGAGAGACCTTCTCTCTCTCCTACTCGACATTTGATCGGCGAATACTCATTCAGATGGAACCTTATGTCACATCCCATACCGTCCCAACCATCTGAAGTCCCATTTGACCGTGTGTGAAGGTAAAATATCATGCATAATTATTATGTCAGACCTGGTGGTGCTTCTATGTGTCATGGCTGCTTTCCAAAAATTGTTAAACAAAAATTTGAATAAAGCAGCGGAGGAAGCTTCAAAAAGAAGCACGTAAAAACAATAAACGAGTCCGAAAACTGAACCTACCGCAATTAATGTTTTGTGCCCAAGCTGTAGCCCTGTATTGGAGCGATATCCAGCATTGAGTAGTATAAAATATGCCAATTGAATTTGAACACAGCGAAAAAAGAGACACCAAAAGACACACGGGCTGATATGAGAGCCGGCACAGACAATACTTTCACTCTCAGACTCTCGCGCGCGTTTAAATATTGGCTATAACAATGAGCAGGCATAAAAAAAGAGAGCCAAACGGAAGATGGCTAATGGCTAATGGCCCCTGTAAATATTGGCCAATAGTTCAATATGCCAACGATCTCATTCGGAATGAATTTCAATCAAATTTCGCACTCGCACTCGCGCATTGCATTCAATTATTTCAATTTTTTATTCCACATCGTCTGGGCCATCAGCCATTGAAAACAGATTTTCGATTATTATTTTATTAACTCTATAATGGGTTTATGTTTGCTTATGCAATTGCCAAGAAAAACGCAAGCACAGAAGAGAGAACCATGATGGTTTTTTTTGTTTTGTGTGTGTGTATTAATTTGTGCATTTGTATGCAAATTGCAATTATTGGGACCCTGGCATAGCCAATTCCAATTTTTGTATATAAGAAATGAACCATAAACCCTGTCCGCAACCAATATGGAGAGTCATAATCGAGGTTGCGCCATCGGGGAAAGGCTGCAAATTTGATTAATATTTATTTGAGGCGGTTCCACTTAACACACAAAAAAAACTAATTTAAAGATCATTTTTGTTGGTATATTCGTATCACTAATTGCACATTTCTCAATCGATTTACTGACCCGAATCCGATCTCATTTGAAGATTGTATTTCATGGAACTTATAACGAGTGGCTGAAAGGGATTGCAAATCACATAGACACTCAATCATAATAAAAATTCGGGCACATTTTTACCTGTTAAATAAATTCAATTTAAATTGAATACCCATTGAATATTATTCAATGAAGTTTAACGATGAAAATTCAGGTCCTGACTGCGAGTGTACCAAGCAATAGAAAACAGTTTTCTAATATTTTTTAGTAAAATTTCCTCTGCAGTTTGTCAATAATTTCTGGCATATTCAATCACAACTAAATCCATTCATTTTGATTAAATTTTCATGCATCAAATTCCAAATCTATGTAATATAAATATATCTGAATTTTCCCTACAACTTTCGTTGCAATTTAAAATCAGTTCCATTTCAATTACGAATTTTGCAACAAATTTAAGTTTAATTTAATCAGAGTTGTGCCATTTATTTCAGTGAAACTCGATATTTATCCAACGAGATTTCCCGCAATTTCCTTCACTTTCAATTAGAACAACCCCAATTCATTGCCCATCAATTGGGGGGAGACTTTGGTTTCAATTATAAGCCATTGACAGCTCGATGGGGCATGAAACCGATGCGAACGCTGACAAGTCAAAGCAGTCAAGCTGCACCACCCGGCCCCGCTGTTGGCCCGCTCAACCGTGAACCACTGGGGGGGGACACCAGATGCAGACCGGGGATTATGCATAACATATTTTGCGTTGTCAAAACGTTCAACATTAAGTGGAAGATTATGATTGCACATTGTGTCTGCTGCTCTGTCTGCCGCTCTGTCTGCTGGTCTGTCGCTCTGCGTGCCTGTGTGGGTGACAGTTGACAAATGAGTGCACAGATGAGGAAATTGGGCTGTTGTGTGGTGCAACCGCAAAAGCTGACTTGCCACAATTCGGCAATTGAATTTTACCGCTTGCTATGGCCATTGTTATGGCCATCACGTGCCTTTCAAATAGATCCTATCCAGATTATGCAACTAACTGTCTAACATTTCGATTTTCATGCAGACATTCCGTGTGAACCTGCTGCTGCTGGCCGCCCTGCCTCTGGTGTGCCATGCCCATCCCTATCCCGCAGCGGACAAATCCCTCTCGCTGGAGGACGTGTCCTCGGACCTGGACAACGAACAGGGCGAGAGCGTGAAGGAGTCACAGATAGCCAAGCGTTCCGGCAGCTTCGATTATGTGGCGCACCTGAAGTCGGGTCTGCTCTCGGGCATTGGCCAGGCCTCTGCCTCGATTGCCGGTGGAAGTTCTGGTGGCAGCCACGGAGGCGGCGGCGACAGCTACAAGTCCCACGAGATTGTGGTCCATGTAAGTGAAGTGGAAATCTTCTTCGCTGCCAAGCCAAACCAATCCATTTACTTTCCTTTTTTGGTTGTTTTGCAGGGCAACTCTGTGGACTATGATCCCTGGTCGTTCAAGAAGTCTGTGCTGAACACCATCTTCCAGGCGGTCAAGGCCATCACGGGCGGTGTGACTGCTCTCAAGGGTCAGCTGATCAAGGGCAGCGGGTATGCCCTGAGTGCGGGTGGCACTCTGGTGGCAGCCGGCGGCGACAAGGTCACCGATGTGGGCAAGTCCATCATCAACTCGGCGCACATCAACTCCCACGGCTATGCCACAAGTCACTCCAGCAGCAGCAGCGGTGGACTCTTCGCTAAGCTCAGCTCCCTGTCGGGTGCCTCTTCCGGTGGCAGCAGCGGCCACAAGTCCGTCCCCTCCCCCGTGATCCATACTGATAGTAAGTATCCGATGGATGGTAGCCATTGGGCCGTGAACTCCACTCCTCCACGGCGACTGTCATTCGGTTATGCAACACACTCGCCGGACTAGATGCATAACAATTAACCAGCCTAATGGGCAATGCATGCATGCCCCTGTGCCCCCTGTGTCCCCTGCGCCCCCTGTGTCCCGCCCGGTCCACTATCCAAAACGGAAGAGACAACTTCCAGCTCCGATTCGGTGGTGGCAGCTGCTCCGCTCGGCAGCAGCCAGTTCCACATCCAAAACCAAATCGGAGCGTCCATTGAACCTGGCCGGCAACTTTCGTTTTTGCAGCCAACCCGTTTGGTCTGCGTCTGCGACTGCGTCCCATTTTGGCTCACCGACTCTCAATCTGACACTGACTCTTTACCGTTGCAGCCATCACCACGTACGAGATACCCAGTGGCCACGCCAGCTATGGTCCGCCATCCAAGCCGCCGAGCTACAGCAGTGCCACGCACCAGTATCTGCCCCCGGTGGGCGGCAGCTATGGAGGCAGCGGCGGCGGTGCGCCATTCAGCGTCAGCCATTCGGCAGCCTTCGAGGCACCATCCAGCAACTATCTGCCATCGGCCTATGGACAAGATGGTGCGTAGTTGTCCTCTGAATAAATCAGAATATGCTTTGTGGTTTTGGTCTACTGTAAATACAATATATATCCCGTACATACATATATCATGCAGTTAATAGAGGTGAAGTGTGCTAAATATAATCATAGAAAATATATAATCATATGTAAATATAATCATGTAACATTTTAGGCCTTCAATAAGTAAATAATATAATTAAGAAATGTCCAAGGACTTGATTTAAGCGATTAATTTTCCTACTGAAAGTGATTTAGATATGCGAAAGAGCATTCAACTTTTAAACTCAATCAAATTGATCGTAGAACTATTTGCTACAAGGGTAAATCTACCTCAAATAATGCTGACACTCGAAATCTGCAGCAAATCACTTTCAGAAATGTACAGAAAATGGCACCTATTGTAGAACCACTTTCCATGCCCCAAAGTGTACTTCTCTTATGGATCAACTTTATTTGTATATATCTTTGCAATTTCCACAAGAGTAGAAAACTTTTGACAGCTGCAACTCTTTCGGCCCTCACAGAGCGATAACTTGTCTCCGTCAGCTTACAATCGCAAATCACTCAACTTCATTAACATACTACCTCACTGTACCACCCTGCCCCCACCTTACCAGCATACCGCCATGCCATCACGCCACACCCTTTTGCCTTCCCTTCAGCCCATTTCCGCACTTGGCAAACAACCAGACGAAAGTGAAAGCATCATCATCATCGTCATCGGGGTTCATAATTCGTGAAGACGAAGCAAAAATCACACAAATACATGCACAAACATACATTGTAAATACTGTAAATATTAACACTCGCCATCCAAGTCGGAGGAGACTCTATCGCTCTCTCTCTCTCTCTCTGTAGCTCTCTTTCTCTGTGCAATCCATTGGATAGTCCAGACAGACCCATGGGGTTTCCAGTGCGATCCAATGACACATTTGCCAGGCTAAGTTAATTCGGCTTTTTAACACATTGCGCAAGCGAACATTAATTGAATCCATGTACATAAATATGCATACAAATGTAGATATATATATATATATATGTAAATATAGGATTAAGCATTATTTAATGATTGATCATGTCACCATCTAGTAGCAGTCCGTTAACTGTAGCTGTGGAGCTATTTATAGAGCCATTTGCAGTGGCCACATGTCGCATACTTGATATCTGTGCGCATGCCCATTCAGTTAATGGCTCATTAAATGGTCTACAGAAAACCTTCAATGGAAAACTATGATAATTGCCAGTTGGAGAACTCTGTAGGTCGTGTGTCACATAAAGCTAACAAACAACTAAAATCGGAATTCATCTTTGATCATCAAGAAAATCATCATTATCCCGGAGGCAGGCCGGCGAGAGTGTTCAATAAAAATGTGTAATTATTGTACAGCAAATTAAAGTCATCTAACACCACACATACACACACACACATATAAATCATACACACACACACACACACACACACACGACAACCAATTGTAAATACAGCTAAAAAAAAAACAAAACTAAAAAAAATCAAATATTTAATTTGGTAAATCTAATAAAATCTCACTCATTGCATACACACCTGAACCACCCACCTATACAACTACAAACCACCACCCACACACAAACAAAAACACTCAATTCAACATCCAATATCCAACAATTTGAACAAACCCATCCCGGCAGCGGCCAGCGCCCACAACAGCGACTTCAACATCTATGGGCGCCACACGAAGCTGACGGACGACGAGGCACGACGCGCGGCCAATCAGCTGCAGGAGATACTCAATCTGATGCCCAACGGCAAGACGGAGTACACGGCCTCCAAGACGGTAGATCTGCCCACGGGCGGCACGGGGCAGGAGCAGGCGGAGGTCTACAACAGCTATGGACTGCCGCTGCCCAATAATCTGGGAACCCTAGAGTCCCTCTCGCACACGGAATCGATAACGGCAGCGTATGCACCGGGAGGGAGGAACCCCGCCGATGTGTACCATCAGATGGCCAAGAGGCCGAGCGGTGGACCGACTGCAGAGGAGCTGTACATACAGAAGCATCCCAATGAGGGCTATGACTACCCGCCGCCGGCAAAGGCTCCGGCCGTTGTGACCCCAGCGGCGCAAACTGTGAACGAGTATCGCGTGGAGAACTACCATGCCAACAAGAGCAACGCCCTCAAGGATCTGTCGCCCATCATAGCCGCCCTGGAGGTGGCCAAGCGCAAGGGGAATTACCAGCAGAGCGGACCCGTCAACTACGCCATCGAGAAGCAGGTGCACAAGGAATTGCCCTTCAATTACCTGCCGCCGGTGGTGCAGAAGTTCAAGCACGTGTACAGTGCCCCACCGCCGGGCTACCAGAGTCACAGTGGGGGCTACAAGGTGCGCCGCCATGTGGCCAAGCATCCCAAACGTGTCTTCCGGCCGCAGGACTACGAGATACACGACCCGCTGATGTTCAACCGACTGCTGGAGGTGTGAGGAGAGCATCCCAGTGACCTGGAGACCAAAGTGTCAAGTGTGCTAGAACCTAGTTGTAGTCCTCTAAGTCATGTGCAGCATTTAATCCTAGATCGTTGACAGCTAACTTATTTATGTATTTATATCCTCATCGGCATCGTTATCGTGATTAATTATTTATTGAGACTCGCCGAATATTTCTTGGTTAGCCAAATAAAAGAGAGTCCCAAAGCACAGCATGTACCAGACACCGAGCACCATTCCCATTCAACTTTGCTCCTCCTGTTCTTCCTTCCTGTTTTGCACTGCTTGCCCGCACCCACACACCCGCACGTCTACACATGCAACCACCCCACCACCGCACCATCAAATCAGCCGGATATCCTTCTCACCTCTCACCGCTCTCTTTACAGTCTACCAGCAGTAGTCGCCACGTAGCCCCCGTAGCGGACCAGGACCGAGCTGTTGCTGTGGACCATGCCCATTCCGTTCTACAGCACTCTCCGCCTTCATGTATCATAGAGTTAGTCAAACCGTTCCTGCCCTTCCGTCACCACCATAACTTCTCCTCCGAATTCCCTCTCATTCTAAACGCATTTCCCGATCCGATGAACCCACTAGAACCCACTTTGCGGGGGGTGCCAGCCAGCCAGCCAACCAACAGTGCAGTCAGTGTGCATTAATTGAATTGACTTACCCTTATTTACCCTTACCCCTAACCCATTTTACGCTTAAGTATTTAAATTACATAAATAAATCGTTGATTACAAGTGTTTCGCATTTGTTCTTTTGTGCTGGGAGAAGCAAGAAAAATAATTAACTTATTAAAAATATTCTTTGAGCTCAGTTATCTAATCAAAACAAATACGTTTTTGTATTCCGAAGTTTTAAATAATTCAAGCAAACGGATGATGAATTTTAGCATTGCAATAATTTGGTCTGCCTAAAAGTATGCCACAAAATATTACAAGCGAAGATGAAATTTCTGTAGCATATTTTAGGTGCACAAAAAACCGAATAAAAAGAAAATAAATAATATTAAAAAATTTAATTTAAAAAGAATATACATCTTTATGAGTCAGAGAATTCAATCAATCCCCAGAGAATGAATTGTGTGTCATAAGAGTATCTCAAGAACTTTAATTACAAGGTACAGGAGGACTGCAATTTATGTTTCTGGCTTAGGTAACTTGTAGCCTTTGGCAATTTACATTACGTATTGATGCTGTGCCACAGAAATAAATTCTTCCAAAAAATTTTAATTTCAAATTAATATCATCATCTATTGGCTCCTACTGCATGCCCATCGCCCATCCGCAATAAAACTCTCCCACTTCGATTATTAATAATGGATTTAATTATCGCTTACGAAAATCTCAGGGGCAGAGTGCACCTGCGTGGATAGGACCTAAAGGCAAGGAATCTCTGGGTTGAAGAGGAGGACTGGGAGGCAGCGAACGTGACTGCCATGACAACCAAGCACTCCTTCGCGCTCAGTAGTAGCCGAAGGAGATATCGTGCAGCGGCTGGGCACTGCCTTGGGGCAGGGCGTAGTCGCGGGCCAGCTGATCGAGGAGACTGCCGCCTCCACCTCCGCCACCGCTGCGTGGCTGTGACTGCGGCTGTGGCTGGGGCTGTGGCTGATAGCTGGACTGCTGCTGCACGGGACGGGCAACGGGCGCCTGCGAGGGACCGAAACCAAAAGAATCCAAGAGCGGACGTCCTCCGGAAGCAGGTGCCAGGAAGCCCTGGGCACGAGCGCTGCTTGCGGGCGGCGAGGCAGGAGGCAGGGCATAAACGGGCCGGGAAATGCGCACGTTAGAGGGTCCATCGCCGAAGCTCTGGGACTGGGAGTAGTCGGGCTCGGGGCGGGCGGGTCGCTGCAGCGGCGAGTACACCACATCGGTGGTGCGCTGGGCGCCCGGCACTTGGAGGCGTGGTGGCGCTGGTCCCACCTGTTGCGGCGGCTGAGGAGCATACTGGACGCGACGCGGCGGCTGGGGCTGAGGCTCCACTTCCTCCTCCTCGTATTGGACGTACTGTGGCTGCGGCTGCGGCTGTGGGCGAGGCTGTGGGCGTGGCTGGGGACGCTGCTGCTGAACACGCTGCGAGGGAAACAAAGCAAAATGTTTAGAAGGGAAAGCTCCAGCAAATATCTTCTCGGCTTACGTATGGCCTCTGGGGGCGCTGGACAGGCTCATCCGCATAGTCGGGCTCCTCCTTTGCCGTCTCATCGACCAGAGTGGGCGGCGCCACGGTGATGCCCTCTCCTGAGGGCTGGAAGCCGTACTTGTTGGCTCCATACTCCACCACGCGCACCTTGCCCGTCTCGTCCACATATCCGTACTTGCCCTTGACCTCGCCGGTGGCCAGTTTCGTCTCGATCTTGAAGGAGCCATCGGCTCCCTCATAGCCGTACGTGTATGAGCCATCTTCGTTGTGCCTGAGGAGCAGCAGAATCGATTTATTACTGGGACCCCAGACCATGGCTGGCGACTCACTTGTTGATCTGCTTGAGGATGGGCACTGGCGTGGGGCGCGGCACTTCGGCCTGGTTGGACGGACGCAGGCGGACGGGGGACGCGCGCGGTGTGTTCTCCTGGTAGTCCTGGTAGTCCTGGGCACCCACCAGTCCCACGCCAATCAGACAGCCGACAAAGAGCAAACGCTGCAGCTACAAGGAAATGAATCAAATAGTCGTCGTTGCAGGAGAAATGGCAACCGGTTCGCTAATTGCCAGCACGTCCGTTCCGCCTCTTCCTGCGGACAGCGGAACACCTTGACAGTGCTGACGGCAAAGAATGCCAGACGGCAACGGTGTCTACAAAAGTCTTAAGTCAGGCGGCTGCCTTTCACTTTTCAGCCGGCCAATGACACCCTCAATGCCAAGCAGGAACCGATTGCCCCCCTCTACACAGATATACCCGTTTATGGTAGCTGAGTTGCATAAAGTCCAGAGCTGAGGCCCAGGCCCAGACCCAGAGGGAGAGTGACACGCGATATGGCTTGGGCTGGGTTTAATTGAATACAGAGTCAGGCAACAGAGTCAGTGGCAGCATCAACATGGGGGGAAATGCAACCGAAGATTAAAGACAAAACGGAAGAGGAATGCCAATTTTGTGTTGGCCAGACCCATGACTCCCACACACACGCAGACACAGGCACACACACATGCACAGAGCAGCTGTGTTTGGTATTGGGTAATCCAGAGGCGGTGGCACATTCGGAGGACAAGAAAGAGGCAGGCACAGAAATTATGTGAATCTGCGAAAAAGTTCCCACACTTGCCAGGGAAATGTGTTGCAAGTTGCAACTGATGCAGCTGTGGCATGCAAATGCCAATGAAATTGCCCAGACAACTGGTAATGTTGTTACACGGTAGATGGAGGGGCACTAAGCCAGAGAGAGAGAGCCTGACACCTATACAAGGAAGCCTATTCGAGCCTGTAACTAGTTCAATCCCACTTCAGCATGCTGAGCTCCTGTAGAGAGGATGGGACTCCTGTCAAAGTCCTGCCATGTTTGCTGCTGGCAACAGTCTGGCCAACAGCAAACAATCCCCGATGCCAAGAATCGAGCTGAGGTGCTTTTGACTCCTACTCCCGTTTGGCATTTCGGACTTTTGCTGCTTTTTGCTCGACCATTCCGCATGCCAAAACCTTTCACTATCCACAGCGCTGCACCACATGCTGCAGCCTTGGCTCGCCAACGAGCGGACAGACAGTCGAAAAGATAGACGGATAGACAAACAGACAGACAGACAGAGTCAAAGCTGGCTGGCTGGCTGGCTGGCTGGTTGTCTGGTTGGCATGGAGTCGAGGTTGGACACACATGAACATGGGGACCCAGTGCACCAGTGCACCAGAGGCACACAAATCGAAACAGAAACCGTTGCAACTGACCAAAAACTTGACTACCGCGTGTGAACCAGAGCCGTAGCCATAGCCGTAGCCATAGCCATAGCCAGAGCGGATTCCAGCGATTGCCTTTGATATTTTCGCGCTCGAGTAGAGGGGCAATGGGCATCGCATCGCACTGCATCGCGTTACAGTCTGCAGCGAGGCTTGTTAGTGTAAAACTTTTGCTGATTGAAGTTCCTGCAACTATTTGCTCTGCTCTGCTCTTTTTTTTTCTTTTTCTTTTTCTTCTTTTTTGTTGTGCTCTTTTCCCAAGAATCTGCCAAACGAGTTGTGTTCGTCCATAAATTATGTCAAAATCCAGTTACCAAATTGGGTGCCAGAGACAAGAGAGCTGGAAAATGTCGCTTGCTGGCTGGCTGGCTGGCTGGCTGACTGTGCTGGCTGGTTGCTCGACAATTGCGATCGGGGGCTGGTAGCAAATTAACGGTTCACTCGATTTGCATAGCAAATTATGCGATATTTGCACAAGAGTCGCCGCAATCCGCAATGACGTAATATTCCAGAGCTGGGCTAGAGAGCTGGAGTTGTTGCACCAGCAACAGCGCAATAGCAGCACCTGATTGCCCCTGTCCACAACTGCCACGCATTCAGCTTACAGCATTTAGCACCCAGAGAGCCCAGGCTTCGTCGTGTGACCTTTGCTATTATGAGTGCTTTATGTGTAACCCACCCCACACCCCACACCCAGTCACTCACCCATTCACCCACTCACCCACATCCGCCCACTCACACATACCACTTTCATGTTGATGTTGATTGCCTTTTGTTGGCTGGAACTATCTCGAATCGATTAAAGACTGTGAATGCAAGCTGAGAAGGCCTTCGCGGGGCAACACCCAACGATATCCAAAATCAAAAATCCACCAAAATCCAACACAACAAAGCACTTTCAATTTCAATTTCAATTCGTCTAATGAACCGGGTACTGGTACTGGAGCGGCACAATCTCGAACGTGGCGTGGCTTTGGCGGAGCTGAGAGATCGCGTTGAGGCTGGAATGAGACTGGAGACCGACGACCGACCGACTGAGCCGCCCAAGTTGTTGTATTTCGCTTTATATACCGCTGGAGGAAAACCTTTTATTTCTCCAATACCAACAGCTAACGGACCAAACACCGACACCACCGAGCAGCAGCACCACAGCAGCAGCAACCCAGCGACAGCGCCAGCACCAGCGCCAGCACCACGAAACTTCACCAACAAGTCAGCGGCGCCAGCGCAAAAGGACAGAGAGCAATCAAGAGCGGCTGAGCGGGAGAGAGGACAGTGAAGTGAGAGCTTGGACAGCTTCTCTGAGAGAGCTTCTCTCTGTGCTTTTGCAAGCTTTTCCTTGGATCAATACTAATAAATAAATATAGAAAATTTTAAAGAACAGAAGTTAGACTTACATATTATGGAATTCCCTTTCCTTACTCCACTCAACAAATCAAACCTTCCTGCAAGCACTCTCCAACGAACCAATCCCTCATTCTGAGAATTTTTACCAACTTCTGGCCAAAGCAGTTTCAAGTTTTCTTGCCCAAACTAATAAAAATACTCGTCTAAATTGAATTACGACTTGTTATCATTAAAAAGCAGGCAACCATTTAATATACTTAACAAATTACACTCAAAATCAAGGCAATATTTGGCAGCCATCCTAAAAACTCTAGCTCCAAGCAGCCATGGCAACAGGCAACGGGCAATAGGGCTTGGGCTGGGACCCTCCCCTTGCGACGGACATGGACAATTAATCACAAAAATACTAGGCCCATAAATTGTGAAAAATGAATCAATGTGAAGCCCAGACAGGCAACTTGGCTAATGAATGAACGAGCCGACAAACTGAAGTGAAATGGAGTGTTGCGAATTTGAAGCCAAATGCCAAACCAAACCAATCCTCCAGTGCAGAAGCCCAATCCATTGCCCAATTGGGTGGCCTCCTTGTGGGATCTGGAGGTCACTTGGATGGCATTTGGAAGCAGCCACAGCAGCAGCAGCAGTCATCAATCAATGGTTATTTTCCTATGCGCACACCGTGCGTAAGTGTAATGTCAGCAATTGTCGTTTAATGAAAGAAACAACGACAGACAACATATCCCACACTGCCCCTGCAACATTCTGCATTCATTTGGAGTGGCCTTGCCGTCGTCATTCCTTTGGCATTAATGAGTGAGCAAGTCGCGCCACACACACACACAGAGCCCGCGTTCCGTTACTGCAAGTCGAGAGTTCAGCGAAAAAACTGGTTAGCCACTGCAACACATACCAGACCAGGAAACCGCCAGGCCCATGTCTGCCACCCCCCGGCTGCCCACAGCTGCCCCTCCATCTCCATCTAGCTCTCAAGTGCCGCCCATGACGCAGGGCAGTGACAGTCCCAGTCCCAGTTCCAGTCACAGCCCCAGTCTACAAGTGCGTAAGATCGTTCGTTTTTCTCTGCGTGTTTGTTTTGTTCCGAACTATCATGTTAAATACTAGTTTCTGGTCAGGTTATCCCATGGATAGGAGTGGCGGAGGACAGAGAGAGAGAGAGGAGGCAATTGGGCGTGCACCTGAACTTGTGTGGCTGCGTAGACGCACTTGCTGGCTCAAGGCCGCTGGAGGTTGCAAAAAATATTGGTAGTTGGCAGTAAAATATTCCACGAACTTGGAATACACTTGAGAGAGATTTATCTTACACAGAAGTTATAATCTTTTTTTTTTGGTATTTAATGAAGGATTGAGTAAATAAATTCCACTTCACGGAACACCCAGAATAATCGCTTTGAATCGCAACTTTTAATTCGCAACTTAATTGCATTGAAAACATTCTTCAACGAAGCATATAAAGCACCCCAACGCTCACAGCTGTGTGAGCACCCACAGAAGAGAAACAAACAGGACTCCACTTAATTCCGCTACCCATTCATCTTACTATTTCCAAACAAAATAATGCCCTCCTACTTATGGCTGTGCAAGGAGTGTGTATTCCACTTCTGCGAGTACGAGCACGAGTATTGCACGACCTCCAGCAATACAGCAATGGCTAGCGGCGATGGCAGCAGCTGTTCAGAAGTCAGAAATAACAAAGCTCACAAATTTACAGGAAATTCTTAACTCATGACAACGCCCGACAGCAGCGCCCAGACAAGTTTAACAGCCACACAAAAAAAGCTAAAAAAAAAAACACTACATTTTGCTCTGAAAAAATTATATAAATACTGCAAAAATATACAAATATTTGCCTTGTGTGCGCGCCACAAAAAGGTGCAGTCTGGACTTGATTCTGCGCTGGGGCTGACAGCAAAACGTTTTACATTTTTGATTTGCCAAAAGAGTTACAGTGGGATGGAAATTAAATTCAAATTTAATACCCTAAAAATATCAATTATGGAAACTATACGGTGTCTCTTATAACTTGTATAAGTATAAGAAATATTATTGAGTAGTGTAATCTAATTGGGTTTGAGCTTTTGATCTTTGATGCCATTAAGATTCCAAATTAAGATTGGAACACACGGCAACCAAATGAACCTCTATTAACTCAATTTCTTCCAAATTATCTGTGAACTTTAAGCCACTGTAGGTACACGCCCCTGCACAGCCAAAAGGCATGGAACCACCGCCATGTAGCACCACAGAGCAGCAGCAGCTTGGGACAGCATTCAGCTGGCCAGGCCATTGGCGGCAGTGCATTTGAAAGTGGTTTTGGCCAGCACATTGCATAAGTGCACTAAATTCCAGTCGGAGGCACAATCCACTTTGGTTTTCTATCCGAATCAGCAACAGTTTTTACCCGATCATTCTGTGTTGACGTAATGGCCAAACGATTATTGGCCGATGGTCGAGTTGGCTTTTTGCTTTGCCATTGCCTTTGTCTTTGTCTTCGTTTCGGGGCGGCATACTTGGAGCGGAACCTGGTAGTTTGCTAGATGGATTGAGTGCCAAATGAGTTGCGCGGAATGTTTCGTACCTCTTCAATGCTTCGGCGCTCGAAAGTCAATTTATTACACATACACAACAAAATACACAAAGAACATACATTTAGTTAGTATCTGTATTTTAGTAGTAACCGATGTGTGTGTGGGATATATGTATATTCGGAGTGACTGATTTTTTTGGCAGTAGTGAAGTTGACATTGTCCTCGGACACTTCAGTCGCTATCTCTCTGATGCTGTCCAGATGCTGATCCCCCGATTCGCCTACTTCCTGCCCGTGTAATCGATGCTGTAGGAGCCCGTATTTAAGGTTCAGATTACGCAGCGCTGGATGGAACTGCTGCGCCTGCTGCTGCTGCTGCTGTTGCTGTGGGGCATAGTAGTTCTGGGCTGGCGCCGGGGGCTGGTAGTAGCGCGGCTGTGGTGCGGGTGGATTATAGTACTGCGGCGTCGGATTGTAGTACGGACGCTGGGGTGCAGGCTGCGGTGCTGGGGCATACGACGGCTGCTGCTGCTGCTGGTGCTGCTGTCCTCGCCCAAAGTCTCCCAGAGAGAACCGGCTGGGGGCAATTGCTGGGCGATTGAACTTCTGGTCCTTGTAATACACAGCTGGATCCTCCCTGTACTGTCCGTCGTCGATTTCATTGGGGCCAAGCGGATACGGATTGCTGTTGCTCAGCGTCGGAGGCGGCACATTGATGTGGCTGCCAGCGGGCTCGAAGCCACGCTTACTTGCCCCGTACTCGATCTCCCTAACCTTTCCCTGATCGTCCACGTAGCCGTACTTGCCGTACACCTCTCCATTGGCGTACTTGGTCTCGATCTTGAAGCTCTTGTCGGCTGCCTCGTACCCATAGGTGTAGGAGCCATCGTCGTTGTGCTTGTCGATCTGCTTGAGGATGGGCACTGGCGTGGTGTAGTCCTGATATTGCGCATACGCACAGTGGGCCGCACACAGCAACAGCATCCAGCAAATGGACTAAAGAGAAGAAAATGAAAGACAAAGAGTGAGTTAATCAGATTGATTATTTTTAATTTACTTTTTATGTCACACACAGCTGGTAAATGTTTTGTTTATAACACCCCTCGAAGCAATTGAATTGGTCGCAGCTCAAGGACATTAGGCACCAAACCATTGGAGAAACCCACAATTAGTTCACTTTTTTTATCATAATCACCGATCGGCAAGCAGCATTTTGAGCGCTGGCCGTGCTCATTGGTAACCGGTTTGAATGCATGATGAATGCATTTTAAAAATTCACTGCGCAAATTGTTTTCCCCACACCAACTGCATTTCCAACGCATTTCAAGGGTTTTTTGGGGCGGGGGGCCTAGGTTCTGGGTCGGGGTCGTGATCGGGGTCTTACCAATTTCATCATTTTGCCCAGTTATTATTGTATTTCAATCAATGTCAAATCGTTTTCACCAATCTCTCTCTGTTGCACAACGAATCACGCAATGTACACTGCAAAATTTTTGATATGAAAATGGTATAGAAAATGGCTCTGCACTTGCACTCGAGACTCTGCGAAACGAAACAACAAACTCGAAAGAAAATCAGGGCGTGCAACGCTTTTTATACCACCAGCAACATTTCGCAAAGCCCCGCGCAAAGAGGGGGAACAGAGGGGGCACAAAACTCTACCATATAAAATAAGCTAAAGCTTCGACGGTGAACCGAAGTCTGGAAATCGGGCGATCGGCGGATCGGCCGATCAGCTGCGACAACGAAACCGAAACCGAAGCGAGCGCCAGAGCCAGTGCCTCGGACTTGGAGTGGCTTAAAGTCGGGGCACGAGAACCGACTTGGACCTGCCATGGAATGCAGCATAGAAATCGAAAGCCGTCAGCCAGCTGGGCGTATGAGTACTCACATACCCACACACCTGTTGGTGGTGTAGTGGGGCTACAAAACGTATAGTATGTGGTATGGAGTCAAGCTGGAAGCAATTTCCAATCAGGTTATTAACGTCGTCATGCAAACATTCTTAGCTCGAACAGAATTTATGCTCCCACCGCTCACGCATACGCAATGAGAACAGAGCAAAGCAAAGAACAGAGCAAAGCAGAGCAAAGCAGAGCTGAGCTGAATGCCAAGACTGTCGAGTCAACACATTCAGTGCACGGAAGTGCTGCACTTGTAAGGTATTTCAATTATGTTAAGCAATTCCCCCCACCACCCCTCACTCCTGAGAAAGATGTTAATCGATTACCAGACGAGAGACCTGCCACCCAATCTACAGCCAAAGCAACCACAGTTAGTACATAATTTGTGTGTGTTTGGTTTCGGCCATTTCTCTGGAGCTGCCTAAAAAATAAACGAAAGCCCAAACTGGCTGGGGGTCCACTGACCTAGTCAATGTGTCTGCCTCTGGCAGAAACTGGTTGCCAGCGGTGCGACAAAAGAAATGACAAAATAGGTGTTGATTTGTGGCTTCGTTTTGCATGATTTGTATAATAATTACGAGCCAATATTTATTATTGTGAGTTCTAGAAGAGTCAGATACCTCTGAGCATATCTAAGCACTAACCAATGCCAATGATCCGCAACTGCAACTGCTTTAAGGATTAAGTTATGGATAGAACCGAATACTTATTTACTTATTTATTTACTTATATATTTACTTATATATTTACTTATATATTTACTTATTTATTTATATAAACTGAAAAACCGCATACCTTGATTACTGCGTAATACCCATAAGCACAAGCCAGCTTATTCGCTTTATTCAACCAATCATCACTTGCAGAAGAGGGTCTCGAGGCAGTTTATACCCATCCACGACTACGAGTGTCAGCCCCCCCCTTTAAGTAGATCTATAAAACACATAGATAATTCAGTTGACCAATTAGCCTGCTCTAGTCACTTTTTTAATGGTCTTGTAAAACCAGTTGAGCTCCAGCGAAAGTGAGATAATCGCTGTCTAGATTGGATTAGACGAGTAGATATATATTCACACCACCTACATACATATGTACACAGAAGCAGGTCTTGAGAATTTGGGAATAGAGCGGAGTGAAGTCAAAGGCCGAAGGGTCACATCAAGGTGAGTGCAGTTTTTGGTTGCAGGGTAGCAGATCAGATGTCGGGCCACAACTCATTTGGACACCCTGTACGACCACATCAGGTCTAATGTTGATAAACTTGTTTACTTACTAATTGTACAAAAAATAAAAGAGAATATATATATAAAAATATATACTAAAAATATATGGAACATCCAAACAATGAAATGGATACAAAAGGTCTAGATTTTTGCATTTCATTTGAAATAAAACACAATGACTCCACTCCGAAATCTCATTTCGTTGGGTTCGTTGAAGTCGTGCAAACGGTTTAAAGCTCTTCAAAGATCCGATCAAAAGATGATGCAGAAAATTGCCAAGTTTTTGATCATTTTGGTCGTGCTTACTGCCACTGCAGAAGGCCTAAAATATCTGGCCGAGAAACGTAAGAAATGCGTCCAGATTCTACCTAAAATCAGTCGCCAATTAATCAACTGATTGCAGCCGATTACCTTACACCGTGCATTGCGGGCGATCCAAGCCTCAATAGTTGCCTGTCCAAGAACCTGCAGACTCTGTTCCATCAGTGGAAGGACGGCATACCCGGCTACAATGCAGTGGGGTCCTTGGATCCTCTGTACATCAAAAGAGTGAAGTTCTCGCAGGATTCTAGCCAGGCCATAGCCATCAATGCTGATCTCCAGAACGTGTACATGACGGGAGGTAGCCAAGCAGTGGTCAAGGAAGCCAGGTAGGCTCTGTCACTTATTCATCTTCCAGTGAAAAGTAACCCAAGAAATCGTGTACTCTATAGCTATGACCCCAAACATTATGCGATGAAGGCTTTGGTCTACGTACCGAAGCTGCGCTTCCAGTTCGACTACAAAGTCAAAGGCCATGTAATCGCCCTGAATCTCAATGGCCATGGCAGCGGCTACTTTGAAGCTGGTAAGTCTAGTTAGCCCCCACTTCAACACCATCTTTAAGTTATTTTCCATGCGCAGAGCAAGCGTTGCTGCAAATGGAAATGGCGGGCAGGCCACGAGTCACACCCGAGGGTGCTTTCGCGGAGGTGGACCGTGTGAAGATCTCCTTCCGTGATATCAAGCAATTCCACATCCAGCTGAACAATCTGTTTGGGGGCAACAAGGCCCTAGAGGACAGTGCCCACATGCTCTTCAACGAGAACTGGCGCGAGTTCTTCGAGGTGCTACGTCCCGCTGCCGAGCAAACTGTCGAAGGCGTTCTCCTCGATCGCATGAAGAAGACGTTCGCCTATGTGCCAGTTAGCTACTTCATCAAAGACTTCCACTGACGGAATGCCCAAGAATAAATATAGAATTATAATTATACGAGTACACAATAATATAATTCTCACTCTTGATAATAATGTAATCGCCTGGTAGGACAGGAAATAGGGGAAATTAAATACACAAAAAAACTGCACTTAGCACCGGCTACGTGTTCAAACTAAATGGCTCTAAGCTTTCTCAGTTGAACGCTGTCGCTGCTCGGATCTCGGATCTCGGATGTTCGATCTATGATCTCGTTGCTCGTTGAATCGGAATAAAACTGAAGCCCAGAGCTTGCATCCAGCTAGTCGGTTGCATGTCGTGACACCGATTAATGTGACTCTAAGCGACGCTCTCAGTCGTAAATACAGAAGTGCATAAAGATACAGTAGTAGCATGAGCAGCAGCGGCAGCAGCACACCCCATGGCCGTAGGTCTTTTGGCCTTTGTGGTGGATTAATTGCGATCTTGTGCATAAACGAGATCGCCTTGGCTGTGATGGTGGCAGCCGTCCCCTACTACACGGAGAAGCGTAAGTTCCGACTCAACTCAAATTAATTCATATTACTGGAACTCTGACAAATCAATAGCATCCTGGTTGCCCTCGTGCCGAATTTACGAGCCTGGCTTCACCAATTGCTCGACGAACAGTGTGCAGAAGCTTCTGGATCAAATGAACATCGGCATTCCAGAGATACTCGATAGCTTTGGTCCTTTCGATCCCATGCGCGTGAGAGACATAGTCTTCAAGCAGGACAACAATGAGGTGGCCACCATAAGAGCCAATCTCACAGAGCTTGTGGTGAAGGGGTTCGGCCAGACCAAGGTCAAGGAAAGCCGGTGAGTGGAAGCACCACACCTGAATGAATGATTAATTTCATTAATGGCGATTTAATTAGTATCAGCAAGAAGGACTTTAGCTGGCAGACCAAGATCTTTCTGCCCAAAATGCGACTGGATGGCAAGTACCAAATGGCTGGACGGATTCTTCTCATCCCACTAAGTGGCTCTGGAAATATATTCATAGAGATCCGTAAGTGTTCGCATCTTATTCCCCAGCTCAATACTCACAACATCATTTCGTTAGACGATCTGGACATACTGCTGCTAACCAAGACGCAGCTGTACGAGAAGGGCGGCTTCACATTCGACAATGTGACGTCGATTCGTGTCCAACTGAAGCTCTCCCGCGTGCACACCAATCTGGATAACCTGTTCAACGGTCGCAGTCCGGAGGTGGAGCGCAGCACCAATCAGTTTTTCAACGACAACTGGCGGGACTTTTACGAGGCCCTCAAGCCGCTGATTATCGAAACGGTCGAGAACATTCTCTTCGATGTGATGTCCAAGGTGTTCCATCTGATACCGGCTAATTTCTTTGTGGAAGATATGCCCACTCCCCAGGAGTTTTATGGCTCCAAGCAAGCGCCTGTTAGTGATAATGGATCCACATCCAGTGCAGAGTGAGAACTGATCATTCCGTCTAGTGCATTTGAGAGTCTATTCCAGTTTTGAGCTGAGACTTTGTCGGAGAGACATTTACATACTGGCAATAAATGTTTATTACTTGCATGATTACGCCTCGGGCTTAACAGAATATTTGCAATTAAAATTAGTCGAACTATTAACTTTTTTTAGTAATGAGAAAATTGTGTTTTCGCAATGGAAGATCAAGCTCGAATGACATCTGCTTTATTCGCCGAAAAGTAAACACCAAATTTTTGTTCTGCAAAAAAAAAAAACAAATGAGGAAATACTCAGATATTATTCGCGTAGCTCACCGTTCTGGGCCACTCGATAGCTGTGTTTCTTGTAGATATGGCACATCAGAAACGCAATGACGATCGACAGGGAGACCGCAACGATACCGACCGCAATGAACAGCCACATCAATCGGCTCTTGCCGGTCTTTTGGCCATAGGAGTGCTCCACCGTGGCCGATTCGTCAGGCGACTGGCACAGGTAACCGCCAGCCGGCTCCCCGCCATCGAAGCAGGCACACATTGCGGGGAACATGCAGTACCCGTTGATGCACTCCATCTCGCAAATAGGGAGGCACAGTAGCCGTCCGGCGTCCCCTTGGTCCCTGTGAAGCTTGTAGTTTGGCGCGCAGGTACATTGATCCTCCACACACGTCCCGTTCCAGCATAACTTCTCGCACCAAAGGAACAGATCGGCTATCGAGGAGGAACGAGCAACTGGTGAATCTGAAGAATCCTCGAGCCAGCTGGCAGTCGAAGAGACGGGTCCCAGACCATCTGTGCCAACGTCGCCAACGAGATCATTATTCTCAAGGACGCACATCCCTGATGAAAACTCGTAGACAGAACCATTCCCACAACTGCACTCGTTGGGTGCGACGCAGGAGCCATTGAAACATCCATTTGGGCAATGGGGCTTGCAGGTGCCTTCTCCGCTCCGCATGTATCCTTCGATGCACAAACACTGCCCAGGCGCCATGCACAATTCATTCGCACATTTTCCCTCGCAATTAGGAGCACATCTGTTCTCACTCTCTTTTTTGTATCCTTCAAGGCAGGAACACTTTCCGGGAGACTCGCAGAATCCGTTTTCACATCCGCCCTCGCATATTGGAGCACATCTGTTCTCAGTCTCTTTTTCGTATCCTTCAAGGCAGGAACACTTTCCGGGAAGACTCCGCCAGACATCCGTTTTCACATCCGCCTTATGACATTGGGAGTGCAGTTCACATCCGCCTCTCGAAGCACATCTCTTCTCACTCTCTTTTCGTATCCTTCAAGGCAGGAACACTTTCCGGGAGACTCGCAGAATCCGTTTTCACATCCGCCCTTGCAGGTTGGAGCACATCTGTTCTCACTCTCTTTTTCGTATCCTTCAAGGCAGGAACACTTTCCGGGAGACTCGCAGAATCCGTTTTCACATCCGCCCTTGCAGATTGGAGCACATCTGTTCTCACTCTCTTTTGCGTATCCCTTAAGGCAGGAACACTTTCCGGGAGACTCGCAGAATCCGTTTTCACATCCGCCCTTGCAGATTGGAGCACATCTGTTCTCACTCTCTTTTGCGTATCCTTCAAGGCAGGAACACTTTCCGGGAGACTCGCAGAATCCGTTTTCACATCCGCCCTCGCAGATTGGAGCACATCTGTTCTCACTCTCTTTTGCGTATCCTTCAAGGCAGGAACACTTTCCGGGAGACTCGCAGAATCCGTTTTCACAACCGCCTTTGCAAGTAGGAGCACATCTGTTCTCACTCTCTCTTTCGTATCCTTCAAGGCAGGAACACTTTCCGGGAGACTCGCAGAATCCGTTTTCACATCCGCCCTCGCAGATTGGAGCACATCTCTTCTCACTCTCTTTTTCGTATCCTTCAAGGCAGGAACACTTTCCGGGAGACTCGCAGAATCCGTTTTCACATCCGCCCTTGCAGATTGGAGCACATCTGTTCTCACTCTCTTTTGCGTATCCTTCAAGGCAGGAACACTTTCCGGGAGACTCGCAGAATCCGTTTTCACATCCGCCCTTGCAGATTGGAGCACATCTGTTCTCACTCTCTTTTTCGTATCCTTCAAGGCAGGAACACTTTCCGGGAGACTCGCAGAATCCGTTTTCACATCCGCCCTCGCAGATTGGAGCACATCTGTTCTCTCTTTTCGCGTCACCCCCCCACATCTGTTCCTCTCTTTTGCGTATCCTTCAAGGCAGGAACACTTTCCGGGAGACTCGCAGAATCCGTTTTCACAACCGCCTTTGCAGATTGGAGCACATCTGTTCTCACTCTCTTTTTCGTATCCTTCAAGGCAGGAACACTTTCCGGGAGACTCGCAGAATCCGTTTTCACATCCGCCCTCGCAGATTGGAGCACATCTGTTCTCACTCTCTTTTTCGTATCCTTCAAGGCAGGAACACTTTCCGGGAGACTCGCAGAATCCGTTTTCACATCCGCCTTCGCAGATTGGAGCACATCTGTTCTCACTCTCTTGTTCGTATCCTTCAAGGCAGGAACACTTTCCGGGAGACTCGCAGAATCCGTTTTCACATCCGCCCTTGCAGATTGGAGCACATCTCTTCTCACTCTCTTTTTCGTATCCTTCAAGGCAGGAACACTTTCCGGGAGACTCGCAGAATCCGTTTTCACATCCGCCCTCGCAGATTGGAGCACATCTCTTCTCAGTCTCTTTTTCGTATCCTTCAAGGCAGGAACACTTTCCGGGAGACTCGCAGAATCCGTTTTCACATCCGCCCTCGCAGATTGGAGCACATCTCTTCTCACTCTCTTTTTCGTATCCTTCAAGGCAGGAACACTTTCCGGGAGACTCGCAGAATCCGTTTTCACATCCGCCCTCGCAGATTGGAGCACATCTGTTTTCACTCTCTTTTTCGTATCCTTCAAGGCAGGAACACTTTCCGGGAGACTCGCAGAATCCGTTTTCACATCCGCCCTCGCAGTCTGGCTCGCAGATGTTGTCCCTCTTCCGATATCCCTCATTACATGAGCAAAGATCTGGCGCCTCACAGAATCCATTTAGGCACACTTCTTTGCAGATGGGGTCGCAAATCGACTCGCTGATGGCGGAATAGCCTTCGAAGCAGTCGCAGACGTCTGGCGCCGTGCAGTTGCCATTCATGCAACCGTATTGGCAGATGGGAACGCAGTTCCTATCGGGCCCCTTCTGGTAGTTCTTCTTGCACTCGCATACATCGGGTGCGCGGCAAACCCCGTTATCGCAGCCCTTGCGGCACACTGGTCGGCACATAAACGACTTAGAGTCTTTGTCCTCTGCGTAGCCTTGCTTGCACTCGCAGTGATCAGGGGCCGCACAGACACCGTTGCCCGAGGCACAGTTCTGCTCACAGATGGGCTGGCATGTCTGAGTGGTGGCGTTCTGCGAGAATCCATTGTTGCAGCTGCACTTGTTGGGGAGCACGCACTTGCCGTTGGGACAGCCGCTAGGGCAGTGGGGCAAACAGTTGCCGCTACCGGGGTCCAGTATGTGGTTTTTGGGGCAGACGCACCGTCCGGGAGATTGGCAAGTGCCCTTGCTACACCCACCCTTGCAGGAGGGAACACATCTATGATAGAATGGGAAATTCCAATCAGATATCAGGTATATAATATATGGAGCTTCCTACCGATTAGAGGGCACATTGTTAAAATTTGTGTATCCCTTGTTGCAGGTGCAAACATTTGGCTTGGTGCACTTGCCACTCCCACAGGGGTGCGCACAAATGGCCTCACACTGAATCTGTGACCCTTTTCCAATTCCAATTCGTTTGTAATTCTTGCAGCACCTTTTTTCTATTCTTTGCTATAGAAAGACTATTAAATTGGATGTGGAAAGTGACGCCAATGGTCTGCTTACCATAAGCTTGCCATTCACTTTCTTAACATGCTTCACCCACGCAGATCTGGGCCTCTAAGAATCCGATAAGTAGGGAAAATATAAAAATTTTACCAATCAACATGATTGCTTAAGAAATATCCAACAACTGGCTCTGAACCATTCTGAAATGGGACTGAAGAGGCCTCGGCAAAAATCAGAAAACACTCATAAGTTTGCAAACGCTTCTAAGCTCACACATAAGCGAGTATGTATACACATATTCAAAAGTATATACATACATTTACATATACATATATGCATCCGTTTAACAAGACTTATCACCAAGGCAGGCGAATGTCGCAATGTGTCGGCATAATAATGGAACAATCTTCCCTCCGAAGAGGTCTACCAAGCTCATTTGATGCGTGCAATTTTACAAGAGCGAGGAAGAGGTCTTCCCGGCTTATCTCAGAGAGCAAGCACCACCCTTCTCGGATGCAGTCTCAGGGTATAGAATAAATTTTCGTATATATTGCGAATCCCCATACTCTAACGAAATCTAGCGTACTAGTACACAACTATGACCCAGTACTCAGTTTTGACTTAGATAAGAATTTTTTTGTTAGAGATCAAAATAAGGAAATATATGCGAATTTAGAAGGCACAACCTCCGCTCAAATTGAAAGTAATCACCCGGAGCTAGAGTAAAAGAAAAATAGAGAGTGGATAATCACTTACATAAATAAAAGCAAAAATTGAAACATTTAATGCAAATGTTTATGTGATTATTACAAGGCCATTAGTTACATCATCATGGAAAGCGATAAAACAAACTGGACTCTACTGCAGTCCAGTTAAACGATGAAAATACTTCTGGCGTTAGTCACATGAAATAACAATTTCCATGCGCAACTTCGCCCATTTAATGTTTTTGTTGAGGCCTTCAAAGTACTAGTAGTATTAGAAATACTAGTACTAGTGTTAAACTATAAATTGGCTGGCATGTCTGGCTGATGTTGTTGCCTTCGAAGCAGTCGCAGTCGTCTGGCGCCGTGCAGTTGCCATTCATGCAACCGTATTGGCAGATGGGAACGCAGTTCCTATCGGGCCCCTTCTGGTAGTTCTTCTTGCACTCGCATACATCGGGTGCGCGGCAAACCCCGTTATCGCAGCCCTTGCGGCACACTGGTCGACACATAAACGACTTAGAGTCTTTGTCCTGTGCGTAGCCTTGCTTGCACTCGCAGTGATCAGGGGCCGCACAGACACCGTTGCCCGAGGCACAGTTCTGCTCACAGATGGGCTGGCATGTCTGAGTGGTGGCGTTCTGCGAGAATCCATTGTTGCAGCTGCACTTGTTGGGGAGCACGCACTTGCCGTTGGGACAGCCGCTGGGGCAGTGGGGCAAACAGTTGCCGCTACCGGGGTCCAGTATGTGGTTTATGGAGCAGACGCACCGTCCGGGAGATTGGCAAGTGCCCTTGCTACACCCACCCTTGCAGAAATCAGGTATATAATATATGGAGCTTCCTACCGTCTAGAGCGCAAATTGCTAAAATTTTTGTATCCATCGTCGCAGGTGCAAACATTTGGCTCGGTGCACTTGCCTCTCCCACAGGGCTGCGTACAAATGGCCTCACAGCCTCGTTTTGACCCTTCTTCAATTCGTTTGTATCCCTTGCGGCAGGTTTTCACTTTCTTAAATAAGAATCCGATAAGTAGGCACAATATAAAAATTTTACCAATCAACATGATTGCTTAAGAAATATCCAACAACTGGCTCTGAACCATTCAGAAATGTGACTGAAGAGGCCTCTCCAAAAATCAGAAAACACTTATAAGTTTTCAAACGCTTCTTAGTTTCCGCATAAGCGAGTATATGAAAATATATACAAAAGTACATATGTACATATACATATGTATATATGCATCCGTTTTAACAGACTTATCACCAAGGCAGGCGAATTTCGCAATGTTTCGGCATAAGAATGGAACATTCTTCCCTCCATGGAAAAGGTCTACCAAGCTCATTTGATGCGTCCAATTTTACAAGAGCGAGGAAGAGGTCATCCCGGCATATCTCAGAGAGCAAGCACCACCCTTCTCGGATGCAGTCCCAGGGTATAGAATAAATTTCCGTATATATTGTGAATCCCACATACTCTAACGAAATCTAGCGAACAAGTACTCAGTTTTGTCTTAGATAAGACATTTTTTTTTTAAGATTAAAATAAGAAAATATATGCAAATTAAGAAGGCACAACCTCCCATTAAAATTTAAATAATCCCCCGAAACTAGAGTAAAAGAGAAATAGAGAGTGGATATTCACTCACATAAATAAAACAACGAGAAGGAACGTGTGAGTCGCTTCTGGGAACGCGACTCTACTTATACCCGTACTCAGTCAGCACATACATTTTTGAGCTTATGATTTTTTTCAATTTTAGAATTTATATATATATACTTCTCTGCGTTACACACATCCACTTGTACCACAAATATAATATACCCCTTAACTCTTTTTTGAGTACGGGTATACAAATTAAAACATTTAATGCAAATATTTATATGATTACGATATGATACGATAAAATAAACTGGACTCTACTGCAGTCCAGTTAAACGATGAAAATACTTCTGGCGTTAGTCACATGAAATGACAATTTCGATGCGCAGCTTCGGCCATTTAATGTTGTTGTTGTGGCCTTTAAAGTACTAGTAGTATTAGAAATACTAGTACTAGTGTTAAACTATAAATTGGCTGGCATGTCTAGCTGATGTCGTTGGGACATCCGCTGGCATTAAATATTTGAAAACATATATGCAGATCAAGAAGCCGCAACCTTCTATTAAATTCTTGTTATTCCCACCAAAATAGAGAGAGATAAGTCCGCTCTATCATGTACATAAATAAATGCAAAATAAAAATTATACAATGCAAATATCATGGAAAATTATAATTACAATTGGACTCAAGATAACTAACGCCAGTCTAGTCCAAAGATGAAAATACTTTGTGCATTAGTACTCAACTCAGCAATGATCCAGCATCCAACATCCGATCATTTGCGGATTCACATGTCGAGGCGAGGATTTGGCCATTTAATATTTTTATTATGGCCGTTAATGTACTGGTATTTTTTTCGTTTCAACCAGACTTTAGCAATGAAGTTTGCCTAGGTCCAAGCCGAGTGTCACGCCAGTCGACGTATTTTCCAGCTGCTAGTGCGAGTGGATATTAAATTAGCTTACCGGTTCGCCCGTTCGTCGTTGGGTGGCAAGGTGAAGTCGCTACAGTTTCAGACAGAACCGCTTAATACAGCGCCCCAACAAAAGCAACTACGACTGCCACTACAAGTATAATATAAATATGGAATAAATTAAAGTAGACGTAGTAAATGAAAATTTCTCGATTCTGGTATTACCCAGGCTACGACGACAAGCATCACCACATCACACTCAATTCATCAATTGCACTCGAGTCGCTGGGATGAGCGACCCGCTCATTCACATCGCCTATATAAAAGGCCAGATAAAAGCGAGCTCCGCTCCGAGTAATCTCTCATTCGCCAGCCGCGACTAACTCGATTAGGCGGTGACTTTAACTGGGATTTCCCAATGTACATAACTGGGTTACTGGTGTTAATGCTGATGCTTTTCGATGGCATCGAGTGCGTTGCATTCTATACGGAAAAGCGTAAGTGTTTGTTCATTAATGTTTATCTGAATGTGTGAGTGTGTGTGTGTGCGCTTGCTCAGACAAGTGAACTCTTGTCGGAAAAAAATACCTCAAATCATGTTGCAGCTTGACTAATCCGGAAACTGTTCATACGTATTGCAGCCTCGTACATTGAATCGTGTCGAATCTATGAGCCCGAGTTCACCAACTGCTCAACCCGTTCGATTCAGGGATTCATGAATCAGGTAATCAAAGGTAAGGCTGCAGCTTATCAAAACATTCCACGCTCATCGCAATATTTCACTGGAAAGGCATACCCGAGATAGATGAAACCTTTGGACCGATTGACCCCATGAAACAGGACCAGCTGGTGTTCAATCAGGATAACAGCGATGTGGCCAGCATATCGGCGAATCTCACGGAGATGCTGATCCGCGGCTTTGGCAAAATGGTGATCAAGGAGAGCAAGTGAGTATCGATGGCAACGCGTTGCACTTGGCCGCAGTGTTCGCATATCAAGAGCGAATCAAATCTATTTTCCATTTGATGAAGGTTATTTGTAGATAAAACTTTAATTTGAATCTGTTTTAAGGGTCAGCAAAAAGGACTTTAGCTGGCTGACAAAAATCTATTTGCCAACAATGCGTTTGGATTGCAAATATAAAATGATTGGACGCATTCTGCTCGTGCCCCTCCGAGGGGGCGGCGACATGTCCATGGAAATTGGTAGATACACACGTCCGTCTGTGGGTAGATAAATCACAACTAAACGAATGATTTTTACTGTTGCATAGATGACCTCAACATACTGATGATCACCAGGACACACCTGTACGAGAAGGGCGGCTACACCTTCTACAATGTGACATCGGTGCGCGTGAAGCTGGAGGTGGGCAAGGTAAAGACCCACATGGATAACCTGTTCAATGGCCGAAGCAAGGAGGTGGAACAAGGCACCAATCAGTTCTTCAACGAGAATTGGCGCGATCTGTTCGAGGCACTGCGTCCCCTGGTCGCCGAGACTGTGGAGCGGACGCTGCTGAAGCTGCTGCAGCAGCTGTTCAATCTGATTCCCGCCAACTTCTTCGTGGAGGATATACCCAACTCGCTGAACCTGTACGGTCGAAAGACGCAGCTGATCGCGTAGGAAGAAGAGTATTCGTTTAATGGATATCCTGGATGGTGTTCCCTGACCATCTTGCTTACGGCTAACTGTTAGTGTAAGGTAATAAATGCTAATCTTAAACGGTAACCTAAACATGGCATGGCACAGTGCTGCTGCTACATCCGGCCACAGTAGAACCGAGCTCAGTAGAACCAGTCGTACTTGAGATAGTCGCCCTCGTGCTTTAGGGCCGCAATCGAGGTGTGCCGCACGTGTCCGGTGCGTGCAAAGATGCGTCGATTGCCCACCGGCTGCAGGGTGCGGAAGTTGTCCACGAGCGCCCCATCCTGCGTGTCCGACAGCTGACGGAAGCGGGAGATCTGCTTTGGTGAGATCGGAATGGGATCTGAGTACAGGATCCAGGTGACGGCCTCCGAGCAGGGCGGCGTGGTCAAGGAACCTGAAATGCGATCAGAGAGCGAGCGAATTAATTGAGATGTGTCATCTTGGATAAGCATCAGCATCAGCATCAGCTGGTATTGACATCGATTCGCTGTCATCTAATCAGTAGCCATTCAATGCCACTTAGGGCCTCGCCTGAATGCTAATTGGCTGTACAAATGGCTGCTTAATAGCAGATTCCCCCCTTCGGATACGTACCCTTGTAGGTGTAGAACTTGTCCACGTCAACGCCGGCTATCAGGGATGACAGGGAGAAGGTGACATTGAGGGTGGCCTCCTGGTTGGCATCGGCTATCAAATGCAGATGACGATTAATGGTGACCAAGCCCTGACCCTCATCCTCGTCGAGCTGTGCGGGGAAGAGATTGGGGAAGAATGACGTAATGACGTTAACAAATCATTGCCATGGCTGTTCCTCTACTTACATTGAAGAAGAACCCGAGCACGGCAGCGCCATCGGGATGATTGAGAGCCTCCCCAATGGTCGCGTACTTCTTGTTGCGATGCACTATGTGCATCTCCATGGTGTAGCGGATGTCGTTGATGACATGCTCGGAGCCTCGATTGTTCTTGTCGCCCCAGTGGAAGTGCAGGCCCTCCACCTCGAATTCGCCGGGCAGCTTCGCCCCCCGAATGTAGGGCAGGAAATCCTCCTCCGCGTTGCTCGCATTCACCTTGGGTATGCCGATGGAGACTGCAGAAGCATTGGGGGCCATCAATCAACAATCACTATGCAAAAGTCTCTCTTTCTCTCTGTCTGGCTCTCTGGCTCTCCACTTACCCGTGTGTCCGTTGTTGACCATTTTCAGGGGATACGGCAGGAGGTTGTGGTAGCCAATCATATCCACGGCAGGCATATGAACGGGTATGGTCTGAAAATGGGACAATTACGCACGATTAGAGGTCTGCTTTAGTGGGCTTAGAGGGTAATTAGGCAGGCTGCCGCTTACCCGGCTCGTGGTGATGGCAATGGGCGACTGTGTCTTGCCGGCACAGTGGCCATGGTGACGGGCCCAGCGGCGCTGATTGGGCTCCGAGTAGCCAAACACATGACTGCTGACAGCTGGAAGGAACAACAGGAAACAAACAGGATTTCGTTAGCAAGATGATCCTCCATGAAACAGGGACTATTCTACACACTTGGAATGTTCACCGATTAAAGTGGAACACCCCGAACATTCACGTGCCGAGTGTCTTTCACCCCGCCGCCCACTTCGACCTTCGCGCGGATCCTATCTCTGACATATAGGAGCACTTGTGTATTACGGCATAATAGATGGCACAGCAAACAAATATTGAATGTTTTTCTGCGGCAGTCAATGGACAGACAGACAAGTGGCTAAATAAATAGATCTACGGTAAAACACACACACACACAAAAGGCGCAAAGAGCGTGAGCCCCAAGGGCACGTTCTGGCCAACAAATTAGATATGGCCGTGTTGATTTAGATATATGTATGTATAAGTAGTATTTTACGATAGATAATGGTGAGCGCAAATAATTTTCATTAATTTTCACAGCAGTGCCGCAGTGCAAAATTCCATGGAATGTTCCGCAAAGGCGAAAGGAAATACTTGTTTAAAAGCTAATTTGCATGTGATTGGTGATAATTTCTGTTTGAAAAGCTTCGCTTCGAATTAACATATCATATGACACTGTTTTCCATTGGGAGGGAGATAGCAATAGAGTGAGAGAGAGACAGAGTGTGTGTGTCTGCAGTAGTTGTTGCTGCTGCTTTTGGTGTTGGTTTTGGTGGAAATACGAAGTCCGAGTCGCAGTCACAGTCACAGTGGCAGTGCCATCCGTTTGATAAATTAGTTTAATTAGTTGGTTTATTTATTATAATATTATGATTATTATTTATTTGAGGCGCGCTTATCAAATTGCTTGGGTTGGGTAATCAATTTATTCAATTTATTCTCCTGTCATGTATGACCATTAGATATTATGTCATCCAGCAGGTACTATACCATTTAATTTCATTATTTTGTGGCAAGTGTGTTGTAAACAAATTTGCCAATAAATACTTGTACTTGTAGATAAAATAGATTGTGGCAAATGCTCGCTCGTAGAATACAATTAAAGATTACTTTTAAGGATCGCAGAGATCTTCTGCCTGCAATCGGAGATGTTATCTATAGAGATAACCATTTACATGTTATGCAACTTCCAATAATAGAACAATTCAAGCGATTCCCCCTGACCATACATGGCCATGCAATCTATCAAAATCGATGGGTTGCCATAAAATGTACTAATTGACAGTTTCAAGTGTAATAAATAGCATTAAACTGCTCGAAAGTAGATTCGTGAAGTGCGTACTTATGACTGTTTATTGGCCCCCACCCCCCTCGTGGAATAACAGGGGGAACCCGCCGAATGAGCCAACATTCTCGTAATAGATACGCGCATGAGGTGTCCACACATCTGGCTATATTTACCCGACGAAAGTTCACCAGAATAGATATCGATTTATGATCGTTTGTGTTTTATTTGTGTATTGTTTCCGTACAATCGGACAAAAACAATATGAATCACATGACACAGTAGGTCACAGCCGCATCGACACAAAAAAATACTTTAGAAATTTCAACTTTAAATGCGTATCCTTGAACTGAATAATTACCTTGAGACCAGCAGATCACCAGGAACGAAGCTTCGAATATTATGGCCAATTTCATGGTGGATTATTGTTATACTATATGTAGATATATGAAACTATTGTTTAATGCGAGAACTGAGCTCCTTTTATGCGATTGTAGCACCTTCCGATCGGGTGACAGATTCTAAACTGCGCGGACGTTCCGTTGGCGAGGCACCTTCACAACTTCCTCAGCAGGCAGTCAACGAACTACTTGAAAATTCGAAAGCTGAAATCCCCGCCCGAAGCGCGTGCACCACACACAGATACACACACACACACACACACACAGACGTAGCGAGGCGCACGAACAGTTGCCGCCACCGCCGACGACGACGATCGATCGATCGATGGATGGATGGATGGATGGAGTACTCTGCTGCCTATAGAACTCTTTCGGGGAATCGGGGATCCGGAAAATGGGAAAAGGGAAGTGGCTTGCAAAAAAAATGCAATAAAATCCGAGAAATTGTTGCACCACACTGCGTATACTTGACGTGGCATAGGCCCACTGAAGGAATCAATCCCAGGGGCGTGCGAGTGCGGTTGCGTTTGCCAAAATCAAAGTGAAAAATTTGTCATAATTCGCACCTAATGCCAATGGCAAACACCAGAGTGGTAACTGCTTTCGATCATTTTTGATAATATTTTGTTTTGCATACAATTTTACTGATTTATTTATTTGCCCATGCCCAAAAGGCGCTGTGAGGGGGGAGGGTGTTCTTAGGAGTAGCCGTTACTAAGCCAACAAGTCGCGACAACGTCATGCCGAAAGCCGCTAATTGAACGCGGGGTCTTCAGAGCCCAACGCACATCAGTCGCCCAGCAATCGGGGCAAAGTAGAAGCAAATTCATTGAGGGGTTTTCGCACGTTTTACAGTTTTTCGTTCGTCTACATAGTTTTTTATTTTATTTTTTTTGTGTGAGCGAAGCGATCTGTAAAGTCGCATTTACACTTGTATAGGAAGTTCGTGATCTACATGAGAATGTGGGTATTGTAAATGGCATATGGAACGGACTGATATCTATTTATATCTTTATGATAGGCTATGCACAGCCACGCGAAGTCAGATAGTTGGAATTGATCGATATGTCTGGGCATTTGAATGCCAAGGCTTACCACTGTAAGCTGCCATGGGAGTGGGCCAGATGGCTGACTTTTGGGGGTCTTTCCAGGAGAAGACCCATCCAATTACAATCATTTAATCGCGTATTGCCGTGTTCATTTTGGTTACCAGTTCTAGTCGGTCTGGTCAGCTTCACTTTTCCACTGCCTGGTTTAATTGTTGGAACACGATTCGGATTGTTTAGAGCCTCGATTGATGATTGCTCAAAAAGGTGTCAATCTTCGATCTACGGCCGGCAAATAATCGCATGATTATCACATGGGCTTCGACAAAGGACTGCCCCCATCATCAACCCACATAGGTGGGAGTCTTCCACCGCGGCAATTGATTATGCAAACTGCTGACAAACAGATAAACTGATCTACAGATAAACGAACTTAATATTTGCTAGATTACGCCTTCGAATCGATCAACTAAGTCAACTGCCACCCGGCAAATATGTAGATAAATATGAATACGAGTTGTAGAATAATTAATCAAATATGTTTTTTTCCTTTGTGTGGCAGCAGCACAGCACTCACGTGCCTGCAATTAGCAGCTTTTAAGTAAACTGTTGTTTATCAGCTATCGGGCTACTTGTGACTCGAAACCAGACTAGAGATTCGTCGCTTAGCCAAGTAGTTACACCCACACCCAGGCATCATTGTGCATTCACAGAACATACCAATAACTCAATTATTAAGCCATCATCAATATACAATTCAACATTGAAGCGATTTTACGATCGATCTGGTAATAAGTCTCGCATTCTGCTTGCCATGCATATACTTAAAAAACCATCAAAAGAGGCGCTTTAATCAGGCGCATACAAATTAGGCCAGCACATCAGTTCTCTCGCATCAGTTCTCTCCACCTGATAGTTATGCATAGATTCGGCGCACCTGCGGGACGAGACCAGGCCAGGTCGTGCCGGGCATCCTCAATACGCGCTACAGTTTTATCAATTAAAAACACCTACGCGAGTGGTGGTGTCTGGTGCTCCGTATGGAATGCTCTATCAGCAGCCAGAGATATATACTTAGTGCTGGCGTCATGCTGCTGCTCGCCGCCCACGGACATGTCCGAAATGTCAGGGGGGAGTTTTATTTTTGGCCAGAAATCGCATTGTCCCTGTCCACGCGGGGGCTTAAAAATAGAAAACGTTCTGGGAAAACCAAACATTGGCTATCAGTTATAATTGATTAGCGGAGGGACGCTGTCGGATAGGGTTTTGTTACCCTAACTTTTACAATTGATTCCCCTGATTCAGAGCAGCCTTATCGAGTGGTTTCAGCTTATCTGATGGCCACCTCTTGTGGCATACTTTTGCGGGCAGCGCCTAAAAGTCACAATGAAACGTAGTACATAAAAAATCTTTATTTAATGAATAATTTAAATAAGGGTGGCAGGGGGGACAAAGTAACAAATTAGAAATGCAACAAATTAATGGCTAAGGAACCGCTTTAAATGGCTAATTTAGAACTGAAGATTCCAACTTTGGCAAACAGTTTTGGGGGGGTGGGGGGTCACTTTGGTCTAGAATTTAACAAAAATCAGTCGAAATAAGGTCTAAGAAGCGTTTGGTCCAAACTAAAAACTACTATTCGACATGTTTTTGCACTTGAGGTCAACGCTGCATGCAAAATGTACACATAAATATAAAAGATCTCACTTAGTTCCAAGAGAGTCACAATGTTCATTACATATTGACTTTTTGCTTTTTGTGGGCTATCTTTTTGGCTTGGAGAGTTCCTCTCCCATTAGCTGCTTTGTAAATATATATAAATATAGAAAAAGGTTCAACTTTAGTCTCTAGTCTGAAGGTATTACTGAGTCCGTGATGTGGTACATGTGATGCATATTTCTGGTTTCTGATGGTTCCTTTAATCCTGTTTCTCCTCCCTGGCGGACAGGAAGAGCTTCTGGCACGTGTAGGTCAGAGAGTCTATGTAAAGACCACGGCAATAAAACCGTAAAAATGTTATACACATGAGAATATGAGGAGGTGGAAGAACTCACCAATCGTGTGCTGCACCCATTTCGGTTTATTCTGCCACACGACTCCCACATAATAGAATGGTATGCCAATTAGGGTGATTAATACACCCATTCCGACCTCGTAGGGCTTCACATAGATGGGCACGACCACCAGGAAGGCGCACACGACGACAAACACAGCGGGTATCCACAAAGAGACCTGTCCCCAAGCAATGGCAATGGCAATGGCAATAGATTATATAATATTCATGTCTCCATACCAACGGCTTAACTCACTTTAATTGGCCTCTCCATGCAGGGGCGCGTGTAGCGAAAGTATAGAACGGCCGATACCGAGAGCATGATAAAAAACGATTCCACAATGCTGCTGTAGGTGATCAGCACATAAACATCGCTCACCACGAGCATCACAATGGAGAGAAAACACTACAAAATGGGAAGGGACAAAACAGAACATAACCAATTACTAGGTAATTCCAATACGTCTTTTGTGCGTCAATTTGAGGGTGGCGGCAACCACTCACCATGAAAACCAGCGCCGGCAGCGGTGTATAGCTCTTCACGCTGATGTGGGACAGAATCGCCGGCATATGGCCATTGCGGGCGCCCACAAAGCACATGCGCGACGAGGTCATAATGTGCACTGAGAGGCCGCCAAAGGCAGAGATGCCCACCATGACGGGCATGATGAAAGAAAATATACCGAGAATTTTATCGCCAAAGGTCTGCCAATGAGAAAAGAGAAAAGTTCGTTTGATATTCCGCATTCGAAAGATGCACACAATTGGTTAAGTGATGCTCACCACAGCAATGGCATTGGAAGCCAGCATCTCGGATGGGGAGAGCACTGCCAGATATGCCATATTGGCCAGCACATAGATGCCGGTGACCAGAGGCAGGGAAATGTAAATGGCACGCGGCAGATTGCGGTACGGGTCGCGCAGCTCCTCCGTCATGAAGTTTAAGTAGTTCCAGCCGGCATACGAAAAGATGCCCGAGTAGAAGGCCACCGACAGCTTGCCGGGATCAGTTGTAGTGTTCTCGAAGGGCTTCTCAAAGTTCTCCACATTGCCCATCAGCATCCACACCAGACCCACGACGATTATCAGCACAAGGGCGGCAATCTTGGTGAACATAATGATGTTTTGCATTTTCGTTGTCACTTTCATGTAGTACGAATTGAGGTAGGTGAGGGAGCATATGGTGACGGCGGCCACCAGCTGCAGGGCGATCTTTGGTATCTGGCAGGGGCTGTCGAAGAAGGGCTCCATCACATAAGAGGCGAACGTGAGTCCCATGATGGCATTCGTTGTGGGTCTGCAGAGAAAGCAAAAAACAGATAGGAAAATCAATCGAATCGATGGAAATTTTACGCCGACTGAAATCCGAGATTATCTCTATTGTCACAGACTGTAATGCAAGCGAATGTGGTGGCCTTATCGGCGATTCTAAATAGCGAAAATATCAAACCGCTAATCAGTTAATGCAACACAGACATTGCTATCAATGCTATTGTGGTATGTACATTTTGAATGGGTCCCCCCCAATAAATCCATTTGTGGTTCTTCGATGTGTTGGTGCCGTGCCGGTGATAGATTACTGGGTGATAATGAATGTGTTTCACTTTCCGTGAAATCACTGGCTTAACCTTGACAGGCAGCACGCACAGATTACACCAACCACAAACTGGTTGTTGTCACATCGATCCGAACCCGTGCCTTGGCCCGTCCCGCTGTCATCTAATCTTCAGCGTTTCAGCGTTCCAGCAATTAAGTAATTGACCCCATCCCCTCCCATCTGAAATTGAAGCTGAGTGAATTATAATTAAAACGAAGTGAGACTCACACAAATATCATCATTGCATCCCAGAGAAATAGGAAAGCCGGCAGCGATCCGTACGCCTCGTAGATGTACGCGTAATCTCCGCCAGACTTGGGTATGGCCGTGCCAAGCTCCGCGTAGCAGAGGGCCCCAATCATGGACAGCAGGCCGCACAGCACCCAAATGATGAGCGAAGCGCCCACCGATTCCACCTCGCGTAGCACGCCCTTGGGTGAGACGAATATGCCAGAGCCAAAGATGATGCCCAGTATGATGGCCACACCCTCCAGCAGGCCCAGCTGTTTCTTCATCACCACTCGACTGCTGTCCGACTCGGCGGAGCCCTCGCGTGGCGGTTGCTTGGTCGCAGCAGGGGCTATGCTGGGCGGATTATCAGAGCTGGGGGTGAGCAGAACCATTTCGCTGGTGGGCGACTGCAACTCGTTGGAAGGCATGATGATGATGATAATGTCCGCGGCCGACGGCAAACGCTAACTACGCACGCGACTGTCAACGGTCAAAGCAGAAATGGACTACGGAGCCTCCTCGCGCCCAGTGTCCAGCTAATTGATTAAGCGCCGCAACTAGTGTGTGTGTGTGTTTTGTATATAAGGGCACATATATAAGTGGGTGTGTGTGTGGGTGTGTGTGTGTGAGTGCTTTGGTGTCTTCAATTGTCGTTGGCCACTCTTATCAATCATTTACTCTCTCTTCCACTGCTTCTGCCAAAAAACCCATATTCTTCTTATCTGCCGGTTAGCGAACTTTGTTTTGCTCTGCGCTTCGTGTTTGTTGCTGTCTCGCTTGCTCCTCCGTAGGGGCTCACCGCGGCCGTGTTGTTGGCAAATATAAAAATGGTATTTTTTCCGCAAATTTGCACTTTTCCAGGTGAAACGTGTGCAATGGGTTAAGTGTTAATTAACCAATGTCGTGTTAACCATGTAATTATGTAAGTTTAGTGGACATTTATTAAATTAGGGCACTTTTTTTCTGAGTTTTTTAACCCCCACGTTTTCAGGCATTTCGGCAGTGTAACCGTATATCGGCCAAATACAAAATACCAAAGATTCGGCGGGACATGGAACAGGGTGTTTTTATTCTAAAATTTGCAATTATTTTTACATTTGATTCCCGTCTTGTTTCTTCTTTATACATTCTCCGTCTGTCCTTAAGTTTTTACATTATTTTTTGTGTGTTCACTTTTTGTCCTTTGCCTGGAGCTTGGAGTGAATCATGTCCTTGAACTGGGACAGGATCTTGTTCTCGCGCTTCTGACGCTCCTCCTTGCTGAACATGGCCAGGGCGCGCTTCTCGTCCGCAGAGTACAACTGATTCTCCTTGCGGATACGCACAGCCTCCATGCGACGGTGACGACTGCCGCTCATCACATAGCCCACGGACTCGAAGTTGGCAATCTCGTCGGATGTGAGGCCGATTTCACCACGACGTGGAATGCGCTTGCCGTCGGCTATGTAGGCGGCCATGGCGGCTCCTTCTCCTGGCAGCAGGGCGCGTCCGAAATCCTTTTGGTTCAAGCTGCCAGATGGGCGCAGCGATGGGCCCACATCCTCGTCGTTGTTGCCGCCATCCTTGGAGCGTAATTTGCTTCCGCCGGACGATGATTTTTTGGACTTTTCGGCCTTGTCAGTCTTGCGCTTCTTCTTTTTGTTTTTCTTGTCTTTTTTGGAGGCCGAAGACTTTTTCTTTTTTGGTTTCTTAATGCCATCGACCGTCTTCTCCAGCCACACGTCCTCGTTCTCGCTCTCAGAGCTTGAGCTCTCACTGTCTGAGCTGTCATCGCTGGAATCGCTGCTCCCAGAGCTGGACGACGATGAAGATGTGTCCGAGGAACTCGCCCCCTTCTTGCTCTTTCTCTTCTTTGACTTTTTGGATTTCTTCTTTGACTTCTTATCCTTTTTCTTGCCCTTTCCCTTCTTCTTCTTTTTCTTGGGTCCCACGTAGGAGCCCTTCACCAGTTTCACATCGTTCATCTCTGCGCGGGTCGGGCTCTTGGCCCAAACATCTGGTACGCCCTCTTCGCCAATGCGCACACGTTGCTCGCGACGAGCATCGACTCTGTTGTCAGTATAGGCAGGCCCACCGCCTCCGCGGCCCTTGTGGTGTGATGAACGGGTTGAAGGCTCCGCCGGATCGTCCATGAAGCTGGTGCCTCCTGATATCCAACCTTTGAAGGGATTTTTGCTCTTCTCATTATATTCTTGGAAGCGGTCATTGGGCCAGCGATCCACAGCTTTTGGCGGTTGTTTCTTTACAGTGGGACTGTTGGACCTGGAGTCGCTGCTGCTACTGCTGCTCCCCTCACTGCTGCTGCCACTCGAGGAGCTGCTGGACGATAGAGACCGAGAACGGGAGCGACGACGCTGTGCTGCTGATACTTTCTCCCGGGATCGGCGGCGCACGCGGTCATTTTTTCGACCCGAGTATGGCGGCGACCGCGAATTGCGGCGACGTCTGTCCGTCTCCCTGGAGCGAGGTGGCGAGCGGCGGCGATCCTGCTGGTTGGCCACTCGTCTGTTGGAGCGGGAGCGAACCTGGGAAACGGACCTGCTCTTACGATGTGGTGACGGCCGGCGGCGCGCCGGCTTGTTGCTTACATTTCTGTCGGCGCGAGAGCGTTCCTCACGCCTTTGAGGGCTGCGACTTCTGGTGCGCGAGCGCATTAGAATTAGTTATTCAATTTAAATTCAATCGTAATTTCAAAACAAAATGCAAATATTTTTTGATTTGACGGAACAAAATTGCAATAGTGATGTTAAATGATTGATATATAGCGTCATGACCGTTATCGATGTGCAGAGTTGCTTGAAAATAATATCGGTACTTTTGTGCGATAGGTGGAATAAACTGGGCGGTTAAATATTTGTAAATATATGTAGGTACTCGTATTTCTTTATATATTAATAATAGTCGGTACTATGAGCCATTCTAATTACATTCCACATATATACATGTAATATAATTATCTTTTAAACGCCTGTTTTATACTTTATCTTATCAACATTATATTATTTGTTTGAATAATAAAACTGTTTGAATGCAAAGCTTTTTTTAAATATTTCATATCGAAAGTGAACCCTTCAAGTACAATCGATTGTACAGCTGATCACGAATCTGAAGAAAATTGTTTCGCGGAATAAATTTATTTATTTATAAAAAAATGCTTTAATTATTAATTAAAGTAGGAGCACATAAACCTCCACAATGGTGCGGATAACGTGGCGTGGCAACTCTTCGCAGGCGCTGCTGTAAGTTGCGTATATTTCGCGCTAGAGGAATCGAATCGTTTGCAATGGTTTTGTTATTGTTTTAGCTCATCGTGCCGCTTGCGTTGGTCGTACATGAAGCACTGCTGGCACTCGCTCACCTTCAATGCCCATATGAACAGCTCCTATGCCTCGGATGTGTGCATGACACCCATCTTTTGGGTCGTGGACAACTATACCCACTGCCTGGGACCGGTATTTAGGGGTAGATTTGCAGTACTGCCAACCATTATGCTCATGATGAATTCCACTTTCAGTTCTTTGTGATCGGAGTGGCTTGTCTGACCACTGCCGTCGTCAGCATTGCCTATTGGATTGGTTTCCCCTTTTGGTTGGCCAAGGGCCAGCTGGCCTTGGCATTCGTTCTAATTGTCGGCAATTGGCTGCTCCTGAATGTCATATTCCACTATGTGATGGCTGTGATCACGCCGCCGGGCCATCCGCCTGAGGGTGTACTGCTGGCGGAGGCCGTCACCATGTGCGGCAAGTGTGTGACTCCAAAACCGCCACGCACTCATCACTGCTCGGTGTGCAATCGTTGTGTGCTGAAAATGGATCACCACTGCCGTAAGTAAATGAACCTTAAATTAGACCCCTGATCTATTTGAGTCTGTTTCGTCCACACAGCCTGGCTAAACAATTGTGTGGGCTATGGAAATCATCGCTACTTCTTCCTCTACATGCTGTACACCACGCTGGGTTGCCTGTTTCTCATCCTGTTCGGTCTGGAGATCGGCTATAAATACCTTTGGCTTGATCATGGCGAGAACTGGACCGAGCTGGAGCCCCTGGTGGGGCAGCCAGTGAAGTTTAATCTCAGTGGACACATAATTCCAGTGGTAATTCCATTATCAAATCGTAGAGTGAATATTTTATGCTATTTATACAATGCATTGTAGACACATCCCCATGAGTACGATGAGTTTGATTTGCCACCTGCCGTGCACAATCTGCCCACACCAGTCTTGGACACAGATGCCCCATTGCCGGGCCGACGAAGGGCCCTCTGGTTCATGGCCATCACCAATGTGGCCGTGGTGATAGCCTTGGGCACACTCTGCGCCTGGCACGCGAAATTGATCACGCGCGGCGAGACCAGCGTGGAGTCGCACATCAACGAAGCTGAGAGCAAACGCTATCTCAAAGAGCAACGCATTTACATAAATCCGTACAATTTCGGTGCCAAAAAGAACTGGAAAATATTCCTAGGCCTGGTGCGTGGCAGGTGAGAGTCATAATCGTAGTCTCCGTGTGCAGAATTGGTTTTTTTATAGAGTCCACTTGCAGATCCTTTTGGCGCACCGTTCTGTTGCCCTCGTGGCACAAGCCCGAGGGCACTGGCCTCAGCTTTCACACTGTCCACGATGCCTCCTTCGTGGATGAGTGGCCATAGATGCATTCCTACTCTTAAGTTTTATGTTTTAGCCTGCAAATAATTGTGTTCCGTCTTCAGCTTTAGAATACAAGTATATTGATAATTAATATTCCAAAGTTCCCTTAATTAAGACCTATTAAGTGATAGCAAAGGTAGACAGATCTTTGTTTCCATAACGACTAAGAGCACAGACGCTTCCATTGCACAGCTGTCCAATAAATGACGAGATTCCAATCAAACCAAATAACCTGTTGTCGTTGCCACGGGCAGCCGCCTGTGCGCCGGTATGGCAACTTGTTGCCAGGACAAGCGTTTTGTCAATAGCGGTGGAGAAGTGAAGCACACATCCGCATAGAATGTCGAAGGCTTCGGGCTCTGAAGATGAGCCGCTGGTGCCAGATGATTTCGATGATGATTTCTACCGAGAACTGGGCGAGAAGATACCAGAGGTGAGCTGTCGTATGTTTGCCAAGCCAACAGTTTAATTTAAATTCTCTTTGTTTGGCAGGCAACCAAGGCGTTGCGGCAAAAGGACACGCCCAATAATGCTGACAATGTGCAACGGCTGCTCATCTGTGGCACTCGCTACAAGAATGATCTGCGGCTGGAGCGGGAGCTCGCACAGGAGCTGCAAAAGACAATCGATACGCTTGAAGGGCGTCTGGAGAATGCCGCTCGCGTGAGTAAACTGGACATGGCCACCATCGAAGAGCTGCGTGGGGTTATAGGTGAGTGGGATCAAGTGTAGCCACAAGGGGAACTAGCCCTTATATCCCCTTTTTCAGAGGGTGCTTGGAAGCAGAAGGATGCCGCTCAGATCCGCGAACAGTCTGCACAGGATGAGGTGCTGAGTCTGCGCGAGAAACTGGATGAATCGGAGCAAATGGTGGCACATCTGAATGAGAAGCGTCTGGCCATGAGCAAGCGCGACGATGGCAAGGAACGAGAGCGTCTCAATGCCGAGATAAACGACCTAAACAAGCGCCTGCAGATGCAGCGCTCCTGCGCAGCCGAGCTGGATGGCACCATAGAGGGACTGGAAGCCAAGAACAAGGAATTGGTCAAGCTATTGGATGTGAGTGGACTATAAGGGGGGTGGCGTTCCCTTGACCAGTCTCAGAATATATTCTTTGTGTAGGAAACCTCCACCGATGCCTGCAATCTGAAGCGAAAGAGCGATGCTCTGGCCAAAGAGCTGGCCAGCATGAGGAGCGACGAGACCAAATACCAGGAACAGATCTCGCACATGAAATCCGCCAACGAGCACCTGACCAAAATCAAAGTTAGGCAGAATCTGCAGATTCTGTCGCTGAAGACAAACCTCGAGCACCTGAACACCCAGCACAATGCGACGAGCAACAAGCTGGCAAAGCTGATCGTCGATCTGGAGTACACGGTCCAGGAGCGGGACAAAAACAAGCTGGCCCTGAACCAGCGCATCAATCTGCTTAAGGTGCGGGAGGATGAGCTGATCAAAGTGCGGCAGGACAATGGGAAGTTGACCAAATCCCAGGAGACGATTGCACGCAAATACGCGGGCCTGGACGAGTCCAAGCGAGAGGTGGAAGAGGAGAACATTCGCCTCAAGTAAGTGGCTGCCACATGGGCCGGTAAAAATCCACCCAACATACACTCCGTACACTACACAGAACACAGCTGGGCACCCAGGACAAGGAGCTGGAGTCGATGCGTCGCGTGGTCCATCACTTTGAGAAGAACAACGAGAACTTGATTAAGGAGCGGGATATATTGCGACGGGATCTGCAGGCGGAGCATCAGCAGCTGGAGCAGATCAGTGCACAGCACCAGGAATCGCAGCACGAGGTGCGCGCCCTCACGGACACCATCAGCAGCATGGACATCAGGCTGAAGAAACTCAACGAGGATGCCAACAAGCTGAAGAAGGAGAAGACCAAGAAGCTGGATGAGATACAGCACTGGATCGATAAGCTCGATGCACTGCAAAGTAAGTTTAGTCCTGATCCGCTTCTAGGCACTGATTCCCTTCCCCTTCCAGATGAAATGCGCTTGAAGGAGAACTACGAGATCGAACTAAAGCGCACCATCAGCGACCTTGAAGCCAAGTGCTCCAAGTTTCAGCAGCAGCACGATGTCCTGGCCAACGAGCGGCAGAGTCTGCAACGGAATCTCCAGCTGGGCGACGATGATCGCCAGAAGCTACGCGACCAGCTGATCAATCTGCAGTCGCACATCGAGAAGCTCAGGGGCAAGATCTCCTATCGGGATGGGGAGCTGAACAAGCTGCAGCTGCAGATCGATCGCATGGAGAAGGAGCGCCGCCTGCTGCGCAACGAGGTGCGACAGGCGCAGCTGGGGCAGCAGCACACCAAGGCCGAGCTGCTGGACAAGCGGAAGGAGAACGATCGCCATGCCAAGTCGCTGCAGGAGGACGAGCAGCGATTGGCGCGCCTGCGCAAGGATGTGGACAACCTGATGAACGAGAAGAATGCCATCAGTGCGGCCCTGACCAAGCGCAACGAGGAGTACGATCGACTGAAGCACACGCTGGAAAATCTGCAAACGGTGTACGACCAGACGGAGCGGCAGTGCAGTCAGTGCCAGGACGACATGCGGCTGATGGGTGTGGAGATCAAGAATCTGCGCACCGAACGCGATGTGCTGCGTGCCGATCGCGAGAGTGCCGCCGATCTGCGGCAGGAACTGCTCCAAATGCATCGCATGCTCAATCAGGAGCGCATCAAGGCCCGTGCCCTACAGGACGAAATGGTCACGCCCATGAACGTGCACCGCTGGCGCCTGCTCAGCGGCAAGGATCCCGAGAAGATGGATCTGCTCGAACGCATTCGCATCCTGCGCAAGCAGCTGCTCTCACAAAACGTAGCGGCCCTGGAGCAAGAGCGTGCCCTCAACGAGGCCCAGCAGTTGTATGCGGCGCTGAAAGAGTTTATGATGAAGCTGCCCAGCCACAAGGTGCGAGCGGAGCTGAACAGCGTCAAGGTGGGTGGGCGAAATTGCACTGGAAACCACTGGAAATGTTTCAATCCAATTATTCAATTTCAGGCCACACTTTCAGCCAAGGAGCGTAAGCTGCGGGTTCTCAAGGCAGAGCTGAGTGTCAAGGAGGCGGACGAAAAGTCCAATGTGGTGAAACTGGAGGAGATGCGCATGAATCTGGCGATGACGAAGACCCAGCTGCTGGAGGAGAAGAAACGCAAGCAGAAGCTGCTGGAGGAACGCCACCTCCTAGAGCAAATGCAGGCCCATTGCTTCTCGGCACCCCCACAGCTGCCACGTACACTGGGAGCGGGCTTTAAGATGGTCACCACCTTGCTTTAATGATCCACGAAGCAGCTGGAACGCACCAGGGCGTTCAAATAAAACCTCCTTCCTCAGCTGGCATTGTCACTCAGTTTGCTGTTTCTTTTCTTGCAGGCCGCGTAGCCGGAGGCGGAGGAGTTCTCGTAGTAGTACTGCTCCGTATACTTGTCCAGGCGCCGCTTGTGGGCGGCCTCAATGTTTGTCTGGCTCTGGTTCTGTTGCTTCAGCGTCGCCTGGCACTCCTTGATGAGGATGTCGCGACTCTTCAGATCGATCTCGTTGATTATCAGTTCGGCCTTGATGGCGCGCAGCTGGTTGCTCTGGCAGCGATTGATGCGCTGCTGGGTACAGAGCTTCTCCCGTACACTGGGATCGGGCATGTGCTTGATGCGCGCCTTGAGCGTCTCGTACAATCGCACCGAATCCTGCAGCTTTTTGGCCATATTCAAACGCTCCACATTGAGGCGAATGTTGCGCTTGAGCAGGGCCTGGATCTTGCGGATGAGCTCGTAGCGTCGCGGATCCTTGCCGAGCATCACGCGCCAGCGATGGATGCGCAATGGATGGGCCATCTCCTTTGTGTAGGCGGAGACACGCAGACGCTCCTGCAGGAGCTGGCGCTCCAGTCGCACCACATCCTGGCGCATGGTCGCCCTGTTGCCCACCTCCCGCTGCATGCACTGGTGGGACATGCGCACATTCACGATCTCCATTTTGAGCAGGCGAATGTCCTCCAGCCGCTGATTGTACTGCGACGTGCCCCTGTCGATGGCCCTCTGCATGATGGTCTCCTTCTCGCGCAGCAGCCGCACCTCGTCGTTGCGCCGCACCATCTGCAGGCCCACCAGACTCTTCTCCTTGGACACCTCCTCCAGGGTGCAGGAGATCTGCTTGAAGCGCTTCTCGTCCTCGTCGATCGTGTGCTGTGACTGCTCGAACCGGATCTTCATCTCGCGCAGATCGTTGCGCGTGCTGGCCAGCGTCCGCTCCTTCGCATGGATCTCGTTCTGCTTCTGCTTGATGGTGCTTTTCAGCTGCTCGATATCTTTCTCCAGCGAGGAGATCTCCTTCTCGTTCGTAGCCACCGTGCCCGATAGCTGGTTGATCTGGTGCGTCAGCCGTGTGACGGAGGCCTGCAGTATTTGACGATCGCGCGTGCACAGGTCCATCGTTTTGAGCAGCATCACCCGCTCAGAGTGGGCAATCTCCATTTGCTTTTTGGCATTCATGAACTCCTGATGCTTGCGCTGCAGCTGATCCTGGACCAACTCCAGTCGCGCTGTCCTAATCTGCAGCGTCTCTGCGGCAGAAAGATTACGTTTGCAATGGGATCCAGCAATCACTCTGTGGGAGGGGCCTCACCTTCTATGTTCTCGATCTTCTTGTGCGCATCATTGAGCTCCACAACCAGCTCTCGCTTCTCCCGGGCCATCCGCTGCACCGCCAACTCCTTCTCGTCCAGCTTCTTGTTGACCCGCGAGAGGTCCAAGTTCACATCCTGAATTTGAGCGCGCAGTGTGACCATGCCATGCCGCAGACCGGCGGCCACATCATTAATACGAACAATCTCCAGTTGGAGCTTGCCGCGTGCGCGACTGATGTCATCCTTCTGGTGTGTGACCTCATCCAGCTTGGCCATTGTCATTGACTGCTTCTTCTCCAGGGCTTTGATCTCGTTGCTGCCCACAGCGGAGAGAGAGAGAATCACTCACTGGCGAAAGGGGAGACTCCCATCCACACTTACTCTTTGACTATGATCTGATCGTTCAAGTCCGCATTCTTTTTGGACAGCTGCAGGAAGCGACGTTCCAGCATCACCGCATCTTCCGTTTTCTTTTTTAGCTCCCGATCGATGTTGTGCCGAAAGGCCTCCAGCTCGTCATTGTCCCGACGCAGGACACTGTTCATGTCCTCGGACAGCTTGAGGTTCATCACCAGACGATTCTTCTCCTCCTGTTTGTGGTGGAAGGTTCTGGAGACGGTGTAGTTCTCGCGCGAGAGATGCTCGTTGGCCAGCTTGAGGCTGTCGTTCATGGCCATCACATCGGCCTTTTCCTTTTCGCTAGCCTGCAACACGCGCAGGCTGTGTTGGGCTGCATCCAGCTCCTTGCGCATGGACATGACTCGCTCCTCGTATGTCTCGACTTCCTTGCGATGCTTGTGCTGCACCTTGTAGCCTTCGGACTCCATCATCTTGAGGCGCATCTGCTGTGTGACGATTGTCTCGCGCAGCGACTGGATCACCGAATCCAGAGTCTCCGAGTATATGCGATTCAGCTCCAAGCGCTTCTGATAATCCTTCAGTTCACCTGCCACACGGTCGCGTTCCCTATAGACCATGCCACGGATGCGGGTCTCCTGCCTGCAAATCGAACAACGAGAATCCTTAGAGAGGGGGAATCGTTTCTTGGATATGTCGAGAGGCAAACCTACTGGCTGATCCTAGTGTCCTGGGTGTCGCTCTTTGTGAGCCGTGGCCCGCTCTGGACGAGCGTCATTAGTTGGCCCTGCATGAGGGCCTCCCGGTGCTTCACCGCGTCCGTGGTGCGCCACGAGTCGGCCAGGGCCTCACGCAGCTTCTCCATCATCGCCTCCGAGATGGCCGTTGTCTTCAGGGCCAGCTCCATTTTGTCGTCCGCAGTCGCCACCTTCACCCGCATTTCCACGCCGTTTTCCACCTCGCTGACATACCGGGCATGGATGCGGGCCAGAATATCCACATATCGCTTCACCTTGCCCGCAACGAAGTTATCACGTGCCGACAGGTGCTGCACCAGCTGATAGGATGTGCCAAAGAACTCCTCGTTGAGGTCATCAATGAGATCGATCTGCGCCACCTCCACAGTGTCCGCAAACAGCTCTTCCAATGGCACCTCGGACTCCACAGGGGCGTCTTTGGTAGACCGTTTTCTCGAACCACTGCGCTTCCGGGCCGACATTTTTCGGTGGAAACCAAATCAAAGAAATGCAAGAAATGCAATGCACAAAAGGTGCAAACGAAACAAAAATGTGTGTGTGTGTGGGTGCGTGTAAGCAGGGGAAAAGGAAACTCCCTGTGGAATGGAAACAAGTTGTGTAATGAATGAATTCAAACTAAATTAAAACTACTACATGATTCTGATGTATTCAGAGACGTCTACTAGCAATTGAGGCAAGTTCTGTTTCTCAATTAGTTTCCGAATTGAAGCTAAACAGTACCATAATATCCCTTTTAGCCCAAGTTAATTCTTGGTATTTCCAGAATTAGGATGACTAAAATAATCTCATTAGATTCCTATGGCACAATGCTTGAAGATGCTATGCTACTTGATTCCCAAATATCGTTAAACTCGTTACAAATACTCGTTACGACTCGCCCTCTCCCAGAGTTGCTTATCACTGGATGCAATTCCACTCATTCATTCACCTTCCACCGCTGCCTCGTTTGGGCTTACTATTCTCGGACACTCTCTTTTGTGGCTTAGGCTTGTGCATCTCGAGTCGGGCAACAAAACAAAAAAGATTTTAATTATTTTTTTATTTTATTTAAGCATAAAATTGCATATATTTCTTAAACAGAGATGTTTACAGATTATTTCGTTTTGTTACACTTATTTTTATTTTTTTGTTGTCTTATACAAGTTTGAATCAGAAAAAATATATATATATATATATTGTATTTTATTGTAATGTTTATGTGTGTATCTTTAGTGTTACTGGATACTCGGTTACTTTATTTATTGTTTTCGAAATACTTTTGAAATTTAAAGACTCCACATTCCGATTACACACAGATTACAGAGGACTATACCATACAATATGCCGTCGCAAGTCAAGAAAGTTATACAAATAAAATTAATTAATACATACGAAAATTACGATAAATCACAAAAAATGTTTCGCAAATTTTTGCTACAATTAACGGCTACTACGTCTTGAATCATCCTACATGCTCGTCTATGTATATCCACTTCTTACTCCCTCCAATCAATGCTAGAAAAATATACACTTATACGTTATATATATTTGTCCCGGATATATATCGCTGGACCTTGGCTAGTGACAAAAAGATTTGCAATGTTTTAAAGCTAGAGCTAGGTGCTCCCCTAAGCCCTCAATAAACAGAAACAGAAACATAAAGATTAACAAAAACGAATTTATACGTATTCTTCGATCTTCTATTGAAATGCTGGCCAAAACTTATAGTCTGATCTGATATGGACCAAATAAAGTCTTTTATTGTTGACAAAATCGAAGCATTACTCACGTTTTGATAGACGCTCATTTTGTTGGTCATTGGATTTGAATATAAAAAAAATAATATATATGGGCATTTCTCTAAAGTCGAACGGGACGGACAGTCGTACGCATTGCAAGTTACCGTTAGCCGAAATTTTCTCGTATTTTTTTTAGATAGTTGATTTTGTTAGAAAGATTTTGTGGAATAACTTTTCTAAAGGGTAATCCTTTTTAAAATAGATAATATTAAAAGAAAACATGACTAAAAGCAACAAAAAATAACGAAAAATATTTGAATAGGTTTTCAAATCAAAGTTAATGAAATAATATGTTAATTTTGTAAAGCTAGTTGTCCTTCATTAAATTTAGACTATTAAATCGCAAAAGAATTATATAGAAATGTGTTTTTAGAGACACTGAAATTTTTGGTCTCGCTGGACCTCGTCAGAGAAATGCCCATATATTATTATTATTATATATACATAGTTCTTTGATTATATATAGTCATTTATATATATATATATCTGATCGATCTATTTATGCAAGCCCCCGCCTTGTGCATGGGGTTTAGGTTTCGGTTTAGATGTACAGTTATGATTACGTATAAAATAAAGAAAACAATTTTTGAAGAACAATTGCGTTTCACAGTTTGCTTTTCCATCTCTCCCCGCCCAACGTGCGCTCGGTTCACTTATTTTTTGGTCCTCAGCTGCGCCGAAAAGCGCCAATGGCCGGTCCTAAGAGGCGGTCGCCGTCTGCACTCGTCCCGCCTGGCTCTGCATCTGAACGCCAACGTTGACGCTTGCGGTGGAGGGGGAGCGGGCCTGCACCTCCCGCACATAGCAGTCGCGGCACACGCGCACCGCCTTGGTGAGGCCGTATTTGGGCAGTGGAGCGGTGGCATTTGAGCAGACGCCACAGAAGACGCCGCCACAGTTGCGACAGTGATGACGACGTCGGAAGGCAGTGAAGGGCGTCTGGCAGGACATGCAACGTGGCGCCTTGCCATCGGGTATCCAGGCTGGCGGCGCAAGCGTTGCTGCGGCTGCGGCTGTCGTTGTGGATGAAGGCATTTGGGTTTCGTTGTTGCTCTGCAGGCGGCGACGACTGCTGCCGCTGCGTGTGCTCACGGGGGAATTCTGTTCGGAGCTGGAACTGGTCGAGGAGGCGCTGGAGGGCGTGTTGCTGCCCACGGAATTGTTGCGCTGACGCTGCAGTTGCACTTGCACCTGATGCTGCTGCTGTTGCTGTTCCATCTCCTGTTCCTGCTGCTGCTGCTGCACTGCCGCAGGCATGCTCCTGGCAACAGTCTCCTGCTGATCACCCAGACTCCGACTACGCGTGACATGGTTGCGGGTCGTGGCGGAACTACTGCTACTGCTGTTGCTGTTGCTGCTACTGCTCGGATTATCGATGGTGTTATTGCGCTGCATTGTGGCGCCGGCAGAGTGACGGTTGCCAGCGCTGAACACATTGTCCAGCTCCGGGTTAACCTCCTCGGCTGAGTAAATGCTTTGATTGGAGCCGGCGCTCTCCTGTATCACATCGTTTTCGGAGGCACGGAACTCGAACAGCTCCGACTCCTTTGTCTTTACCGGTATCTCGATCTGCTCCTCCTCCACGGACGACATATTCATGAGGAACACGCTGCGCAATATCTGCCGCAAATCGGAGGCAAAGTTCGTCTGCAGCTGATCGGCCACGCCGGCAATGCAAACGAACAGGCGATGCAGCAGGTTCTCGGTGCTCCTGCAAAAAGTGATTTCATTATTGGGGATGGGTTTCCTTTGTTGGCTTTTTGGCTGGGGAAACAAACAACTCACTTGAACTTGAGGCGTGCCGTGGTGTTGCGCATCGCAAGCGACACATCGTCGGAGAGCGAGGATGCGGCACTGGTGTCGCCACTGGCCTGGCCCTGCCCCGGCTGATCCACCTCTACGGCGGCATGCTCCATGCTGCATCGCTTACGTCCGCTGCGTGTCAGACGATGTGGATGCGGCTGATGATGGTGCTGCTGCTGCTGTTGCTGCTGCTGGTGCTGCTGCTGCGTCGTGTGATGGTGATGGTGATGATGATGGTGGCGGTGATGATGGCGATGACTTTGACTGAGACTGTGACTGTGACTATGCCGTTGACGCTGCAGTGCAGCACTGGTACTGGGCTCCTCCTCATCCTGCTCTCTGTGCGCCGGCTGCGGGTGGTCAGCTGTTCCGTACTCATCATCATCTTCGCTGGCCACGAAGATATCCGTGAGTGGAACCTGTTGCGGTTGCAGTAGATTTCCCAGATTTGTGTTGGGTATCAGATACCCAGAGGCACACTCGGCCATAATTTCCTTGAGCTCCTCATCTGTTTCATCCTCTATATCCCGTTCATCTTCATCCTCATCCTCGTCTTCGTCATCGCCGTCTGACCAATCGGCTGGCGGATTTGTAGAGCTGCTGACCGCCGACGATTCCGAGGAGGCAATCGAACGCCAGGGCGTGGGCGTTGGCGATGGTGCCGGCGATGCTGTGGGCGTACTGGCCGATAGCGACAACATGGACGGAGAGCGTGCCGGCAACGTTGTCGTGACTTCGTTGCTATTCTGCTGATTATTGTTGCTGTTGTTGTTGTTGTTGTTATTATTACGCTGATCGACCAGTCGCTCCACAGTTGCAGTCCCAGCACCTCCACCAGTGCTGCTGCTGCTGCTGTTGTTGCTGTTGCTCTTGGTATTATTGTTGCTGCTTGTTGTCGGTGTGGAGCTATGCTCGGGTGTGGGTGCCTCTATGCTGCTGGAGCCCAAAGGCACCTGAAAGACACAGACACAATCATTAACAAAATCATCAAAAATCAAAGGACCAGGGAGTGCCAACCTTTGTGTTGATATCCTCATTGGTACAGAGGACTTTCTCCAGTTGGTACAGCTCCTGGTTGTTGAGGTTTCGCAGAAGATCCCGTATCTTAATGAGGATCGTGCGAAATGGACGAAACATCTCGGACAGCTGATCCCCAGGCATATCCATATCGAGCGGCCCCTTGGTATAGACGACAAGGCCGGCAACAATGGCCAGCCGTGGTATAGAGAACATCAGACCCGGATCGAAGGCATCCACCATATCCTGATCGAGCAGACCAATCTTGAGGGCACGCTGCAGCGTCTCCGAGAAGAGCACACCGATCCACTGCTGCATCTCGTACTCGTGCCGTGACTTCACCTGCACCATGGCGCTCACGTAGCTCAGCTCGAACTCGGCAAAGAGACGATCGAAGATCTTGAGGCTCTCGTACAGCTGCTCGGTGGTGAAATCGTTGACGTCCAGATGGAGGGTCTTGCTATTGGGCACATTATTCCGCAGGCACTGATCTCTGAGCAGGACCCGCACATTGCCCAGACTCTTGGTGACGGCCTGGGCCAGCGGTCGCATCTCCTTGCTCTCCATCTCACGATTCATGATCGAAGAGCCGGCCGCCAGGCACTCGGCGCCGAACCACAGCTGTCCGGCGAGATTCTCCTGCAGCACTTCCTCGGGGAATTTGGCACGAAACGCACGCGGATCGCGATCCTCGCCGAGCAGCTCCTCCATAATCAGATTCGTGATCGACAGCACTTTGTCCTGCAGGGGAAAGAATTGGGTAAATTAGTAAACGGCGCCGACACACGGGGCGGCTCCTCCTCTCCGCTCTTACCTGATTCTGTCGCAGTCTGCTGACCAATCGGGAGCATCGATCCGGCTCCGCTCGTCCATCGAAGCTGTCCAGTTCGCTGGCCACCGCTGTCAGCGATCGATCGGCATGAAAGAAGCGCGCCAGCAGCGACTTGTCATCGGCCTGCAATTGAGAGTTGCGGAAATATTTTGGATGAGTAACTGAGCTGTTCAATGATAAGGCTTATCGCCCCACCCCGAGCCACTTGCAGTGCAAATTATAATTATTATCGCTGAACCGCAAAGAGCGTGTGACAAGTGCAGCAGGGCATCGTTTGGCGGATGATGCCCGAAGGGGGTCGATCGGGGAAGTCGTCACGATGACTCAGACATCCACTAGACACGTAGACCCACGCTTGTCACACACAGCCACAGCAGACACTACGTTTAATTAAAGCTTTTCTTTTGTTGTGTATTTCTGTTTGTTTTTGGTTTTCTGATGGATTTCACAACAAATCATCAAATCACGTACCCATTGTATGTAAAAGTCATTTGAATAAAGTGTTGGGAGGGGGCGGTATCTTTAGTAGATAATTAACTAATTACGATCCATATATGTATGTATAGAGCTAGCGATGAGGATCCTTTTTAAATTGGGATTTCGCAGAGCTCTCCCCTTTATAAAATTAAAACACCTTCATTTAAATCTTTAAAAAAAACGAGAAGGAACGTGTGAGTCGCTTCTGGGGACACGACTCTACTAGTTAGGCGGGAGCTATTAAACAAGTCCCCTTATCCATATATGGAAAGTTTTAATTATTTTAATGGAACTGTTCAATGGATTCAATATTCAAAATTTGTAAGACAAATCTATGACTGTTGATGCTGACGAAAGGCTCCCCTTTTGGGGCGTTGCAAGCTTCCTTCTCTGCTCAAAATTAACGTGTTAACAAGCAAAACTGGGGGAAAAAAAAGAAAACTAAAGATGATGCAATCACCGCTGCCAACTTCGGTGTGGAGCCCAACCAACCAACAATACATTTCTTATCTAACATGCAACACGGAAAGCACCGAGACAGAGCCCCCCGATTGTGAGTTGAATTTCAATATCATTAGCAGAATCACGTGGTTGCAATTAAGTGGAGGAGCCCGCCTGCCCAAAAGCACGAGATTCAGCAAAGGAGAGAGAGAGAGAGAGCTAGAGATCAAAAGAGAGTAAACGATCAACAGAGCTTTATCGGCATTTGAACTTGTTTTCTCCTTCCGAATGTCTGTCTGTCTGTCTGTCTGTCTGTATTTGTGTGTGTGTGTGCTCTCTTTGCTCTCTTTAAATACGAATTACAACAAATATGTGTATGAAGCGGAGTACACAGAGTGCCATAAGAGCAGCTAAATATCAGGGGGGGGTGGGGGAGAGGGTACTAAATGTGTTTATTATAAAGGTAAACACCAACAACACACAGAAATCCAAATATCGTTGACTTTTTGCCTTCAAAATTGCGCAGCAGAAGGCGACGGACGCGTCACTGAGGTGGAGATGAGGTGAAGCGAGGTGTTTGGCAGGCAACGTACAAGGCTTCCAGGCAAAGGTATATCCAAGAAAAGGTAACGCTTCTACGCTCCTTGCATTTTCAGAATTTCTGTCGAGTTTGGCAGTGAAATATGCAAGACCATTCGCCCTTCTGCCTCACCTTTATCCATAATATGCCCTGTTTCAAGCCAATAAATAATTCAAGCAAAATGGGAGGTGCAACAACAACAACAAAAATAAAAGTTAATTACACTTTTGGCTAGATTTCCACTTACATGGCTGAACCAACACCAAAAAACAACAACGGCCAACGGCAACCTCTCTTCCAAGTATGAATGTTTACTCGCATGTTGCAGGTGAATGTCTATGAATGATTCACACACACAGCAAATCGATGAAATCGATGCAGAATATCGTATTCGTTGTTGTAGTCATATTTGTTTTCGTTTCATATGATTTCGTTCCATGGTAGTACATGGGCCTCAAGGCGAACCACACACACGCAAAGGGATATATCTTTAATGGTTGTTTAAACAACAATTAAATGAGCAGAAAATGTTTCTGGCAATGTTTGAAGGTGGGAACCGCACAACATTCATGAAATGAACCAAGTAATGGAGATGGAGAATATGTACTATAAGTTGAGGCTGAGGCAAGGCCATGGGCCTTGGCGTAAATATGTGGTTCAATGACTGGAAAAACAAGACGCACCGCACGCTTCACTCAGTGCCACACACGTTCTCTGCTTTGGCCCCTGTGCCACTCTGCCACTCGATACAACACGTTCTCTCTCCCCCCCTTCTCTCCACCGAGCCATCATTTCCTTCTCCCGTCCCGTCTCTCCGTCTCCATTCTGGCCCATTCATTTCCCGCTCTCTCGTTCTGGCCGTCATGACAACGCTGTTTGGCCAAAACGGTGTGTTGACGCCACCGAACGAACAGACTGTTTGTAAGTGTCGTTGTAGCCATTAATTAGCGTCGCAATTTGGGGGACGACAAAAAAAACTGGAAAAGTGAGTGGAAGTATGGCACTCCACTCTATATAGTACCTACATATGCGTTCCATATTATACCAGTACTTCCATACGGATAAGGTACGAGTAATACAGATAACACACATACACATACAAACTGCTAATTTATTGGAACAGCGAGCTAGTCAACGTAATTGTTTTGCTCTTTTTTTGTCCGTTCGTTCTGTCCAAATATTGATCGAAATATTGATGTGAAAGCTATACTGATCGAATCTACACCCACAGTGGGGTGCAATAATTGTGGGAAAAATGTAAAAAGTGATCTCAAGTCAGTGAAAGTTACCGAAATTCTTTATTTTCAATTAATTGAATTGAAATAAAGTGAAATCTTTTGGGGCTTGTAGCCACCACAAAGAAAGTTATCTTGAAGAACACATTCTGCGGTGGTATCTGCACCAATAATAGATAAAAAATAATATAAAGTACGCAATAAATGTGTATCGAAAGAAGGTCAATCGATAAAGAATCAATCATCGGTAAAAGCCTGTATCGAAAGCGGGTTAATCGAAGCAATAATCGATACAAAGTATGAAGTAAAAACGTGTTGTGATGGTTTGCACATATTACACCATAAAATATCGAACAGCCTTGAAGTTAATAACACATTAAGCAACAAAAGCACTTTACCTGCCTCATAAATGCATTAAAATTATTTAGCCAAATCCCAAATGTAGTCAAAGAGCCGCAAAACCCCCGCTGCCGCACTGTTCGGGGGAAGCAACCAACAGACAAAAAATTTAAATGGTAATTAAAAATTTTAAGCTCGTTTCGGGGCAAGCGGAACGTTCAACCCCAACATGGTGCAGGCCACGAACAAGAGAAGCAAAGGGTGAGGGGATCATGATATATGTGCCCCCAAGGATACCGCCATCTTTTTGAGGCTATCTTTTGGCACTTGTATACATTTTAAATGAGAGGAAATGACGCTTCTTCGTGACTTATTCATGAGGAATCAGCGCAACAAGATAGAGAGAGAGAGAGAGAGAGAGAGAGCAACAGCGGGGGGAGCTGTGTTTGCACCTCACATTTGCAAGTGGCAGCAAGTGGAATACTAGTCCAAAGAAAAGTGCAAGCAAACATTTGAGAAATTGATTTGCAAAACAAAAAAAAAGCAAAAAGACCAAGACTTGTTGCTAACGAAAGTTCCACTACATTTCAGGTGCTTATGCACAGTGAAACTTCGCTTGAAACATCTTAAAAAAAATAAAAGAATAAACTTGTGAAAACTTTTAAAGTTAATCAATTCTATTATATTTATTCTAAGAACTACAACATTTTATTTGCATTTTATTACGATTAGTGCACTCGAAAATTAAGAATTGTTTATGAAACTCAACCACCTTTCCTTTCCGTTCATTGCAATTTGACTTAATGAAAATTAAATTTAAAAAAAATAATTGAAAATATTTGAAATATTTTTTGTTTGTTTGAAGTTTCTGCTAGTTTCTAGAACTTCCAATGTACGAGAATATATTTTTCAGCAGATAAAACAGAAAGCAGATTATTTGCACAACGTACATATAAGTGGAAAATGCTTTTGTGCAGGTATTTTTTTTAATATTGTTTCAACTGGTTTTTTGTGTCCAATCAACTAATTAAAAGCCACGGGCACACACAGGCCACAACAGCCACAAAGCAAGCTTCTGTTTTTGGGATGATAACAGGGAGACAGAAAACCACCTGAAAGCGAGACTGATATGGAAGTGAAAACCATATGGTGGGGTGCTGTTCATGTTACAGATAAAGATAAATATTTATATATATGTATACTATAAGTATGTAGGTGTGGGGGGATCCCACAGCCAAAAAGTTATGGAAATTAAGCTTCCAAATCAAAAGAAATTTCAGGACTTGTCAAGTCATTGCCTGCCAAAACCAGTGATTGCAAAATAACCTTAACATTAAGGACACAATTTCTGATTTGACGTCAGAGATACAACGGCCTCGTGTTCCACGTGCAACAGGCGTCTGCCTCGTGGCAGCCTTGAAATGCCATCGCCATCAGCATGGGGAACAAGGACAAAGGCAAGGACCCTGTGTCTCTGACTGTGTCTCTAGTATTCTTCTGTGCGGCACGAGGCTTTTGTTCAAAGTTGTTGCTGACGCAAAGGATTCGCCAGAGAGTGTCTTGCACGGATGGATGGATGGCAGACAGGAGACAACAGGCAGGAGAACGTGACCCTGAATATTATTTATTTATATATATATTTTTTTAGATAAAATGGAATTCACTTTATTCTCAATCAGCCATCAATTGAGCAAAAGACTTTAATAAGAAAATATACCGAGTCTGGCATATGAGGAATCGTGAATGGTGAATGAGAAATGAGAGGTGAAAACACGGGGCCACAAATGCCGCGACCTTCTAACGAACCAATTTGTAGACAGATCAGTGGGAACACTCCACCTGAAACGGGGGCATGCCCCACCATCAGTCTGTTGGTTAATTGATCAACGGAATATACATATGTACATAGGAGTATGTGCGTGCACTCGGGTCGGTTCGGGTATCGTTTGAAACTATTGAAACGATTGAATTGAATTCAATTTCTGCAAACAAACTGCACAACTAAGTGTCGTAATTTAATTGACGGGAATTATACATATATCATTCAAATA